TGTATTTGTTCCCGTTTTGTTTCTTCACTTCAAAATAAGATATATGCAGTGTGCATAGGAATTTGTTCATAGTTTTTTTAACTATAGTCCGGCCCTCCAACGGTCTGAGGGACAGTGAACTGGCCCCCTGTTTAAAAAGTTTGAGGACCCCTGGGCTAGATAGAGGGGGCTAAATGGGCGCGACTTGGGCTCGAGAAGAGATGGAGTTAAATGGTACAGGAGGATGTGGAGCTGAGCGGACTTGCCGATGACTGGTACCAGCGGTGTCAAGATAGGCCTCTGTGGAGGAGGTTCGTGAAGGATGCTACTGGGCAGTTGGAGGCAGTCGCCCTCCAACAATAACGGAGGGCAGAGGAGCGACGTCCACAACCCACAGCAAATTGACACAGTAGGAGGCACAGGTGGTCCATCGGCCAGTCATTTCAGTCAGTCAGCCCATGGCACCTGGGTCTGCCCCGTGACTTCCTTCCAGCAGGCGTTCGACACTTTACACGGCCTTAACATGCACGTAGCCTGGCACAAGTGCCGTAGTGACGTCACTGCAACTTATTGGCGAATGGCGGTTGTTGATGTTGATGGGGAGGTGAGTTGATGTGCTTGGGGAGCGGTAGTGTAAGCGGATTTACGTGCTCCGCTAAGTACCTGGCAACCCGGGTTCGATTCCCGCTCACGGCTAACACCAGTGACGTTTATCTGAACTGGTCCTGGGCCTCCCTTAGGCCGACTCAGTCTCAAATAAGTTCTTAGTGAGGTGTGTAAAGATCGCGTCTAGGGAGATAAAGGCGCTGGGCGTGGTGCTGGCCATGCCCGGCTCCTCATGTGCCATGAAGTCCTTTATAGGTGCTAACTAATAGCACTTGCCGCAGCTTTCTTTAAGATTATCGAAGGGATCTTTATTTTTGTAAGTGTGTGTGTAGGTGGCACAGTGGGGAGGACAGCAAGTTGGTGCAGCTGCCAGTCATCTCAATATACCCATGGGTCTGTCCCGTAATCTCCTGCAAGTAGCGAGCCTTCAACACGTCACGTGGCCTTAAGGTGCACCTAACCTAACACAAGCTCTGTGGTGACATCATTGCCACTGAATGGTAAACAGAGGCTGTTGTTTTTTTTACATGTGTGTAGGTGTGTGATGTTGATACCGCTGATGATGTTGGTGATGGTGCTGCTGATAATAATGCTGATGTTGCGACTAATAATGATGCTGCTGATGATGCTGATGCTGGTTACACGAGGTGGGTGGAAGGTTCGGGCACATTCCGCTCATTGCGCTCTTCCCATTGCGCATTTCTGCACTGCCGCAACAACTGCTCCTCTGTGCCAGGGCGCGACTGGTTCAGCCGAGGTCCCAAGCCAATTCGTCATCAGCATCATCGTCCGAACCTCGTCCTTTCCTCCTACTCCAGGCATCTCCTGCCCCCCCACCCTGTCCACTCACTTAGAGCTAAACAGCGAGAAAGAGGAGGCAGAGGAAAACATAGAGGCGACTTCTCAATGCTGTAGAGCTAGCCACAAGAGATAACTTCCCTGCATGGTAGACATGTAAAAGGCGTTCGACAGAGTGGAAGGGCATTGTTGTTACGGGAAATGGACAAATTCGGGTTCCCCTCCCAATTCACAGATGTGTGTGGGCTTATTTTACACAGACCCGATGGCCTCGGTTGTAACAAATGGAATGTTTCATAACGTTGCGCTGGAGAGAGGAACGAGGCAGGGGTCCCCCCTCCATCGCTGTTCCTTAGCCTCGCAATGGAAACTTTGGCTGAGAGCACGAGGACGAACCACTCAATCACGGGTGTGGCATATGGTACGGTTGAGAATAAAATAAACCTCTATGTGGACGATGTTTTAATTATGTTTAGGAAACCGGAAACATCAATCCCCGCCATCTTATGCATCGTGGCGGACAACAGGAAGGCATCAGGATATAAATTAAACTCTGAAAAATCCGAGGTAATGGCCCTTTTCTTTAGTTACTCCTAAAACCCAGGAAGACTTGATGCTCTTCAAGTGGTCCTCATCACACGTTAAATACTTCGGAGTTATGGTTCCCTCCTCACTGAGCCAGCTCCGAAATAATTACCCCCCTGCTTCATGAAGTCACTGCCTCGCTGGCCGCCTGAATCGACGTCCCCCTCTCTTTTCACAACAGGGCACACTTTATTAAAATTATGATTCTTCCAAAGATACTGTACCTGTTTGCGAATGATGCCGACACAGATCCCCAGGACTTTTTTTTTAAGTCGCTAAATTCCAGAATCTCCTCCTTTATTTAGAACTGCAAGTTATCTAGTATATGACACTCCCTTCTCACTCAACCAGCAGATTAGGGTCTATAGGCCTCCCGAACTTCCAGAAATAGCATTAAGCTGTGGGCCTTTACAATGTGAAGGGCTAGCTCGACCTGAAAAAGTGAGGGATTGTGAAAAGCTGGGAGGAGGAATCGGTCAAGCCGTTCTCCCTAGAGGGGTATGCTCTGGCCAGAAATAAAGATAGACCATGAGGAATTCAGCCACTATGGTCAGTTGCCTCGACACGAACAGGTTGCAAGGACCGCAAAGTTCCCTTTCAGTCCCACTACATAGAGCATCGACACTCTGGGGTACCCCATCATTAAAGGTGGGGGATAAGGTCATAAAATAGATAACTGGAGGGAGGCTGGCATGGAAAGAGTTGAGCATCTATTGTACACGGACGGTTGGGTACTGTCTTTTGATGGATTGCGGGCTGCCTATGACATCTCCCATTCTTAAATTGTTTTACATCTCCAGATCAGAGACGCTATAACAAACTCTGCCGACAGAAAACGGGACGCATGGACTCACTCATTTGCTGATTAGAGACACCTAAGGATAACGATATACTGTCTAAGGTCTTTCGACTTTGGGTAGAGGGATACTCCGCCAGTAGATGAGTGACCAAGAAGCTGTGGAACAGGTTTGTGCCCTATGAGATAACGCTGTAGATTTGGTTAGAGATCTGGTGAACCCCTAAATCTGGCCAAGAGCCCTACTACTTTGGTTAATCCAGTTTGAATTTATACACGGAGCATCCCTGACAAATTAGAAAAGGGCGAAGTTTACGGAGAGCTCGCCTGACTGCCCACAATGCACACCGGGCACGATACAAACATATTTTCACACGTTTTGGTACTGCCCAGATGTTTTGAAACTCTACTTGGACATTGTATAAGCTATTTCAACAACATATGAAGCACACATCTTTCTCCAACGGTCGAAGAAACCCTGTGGGTTCAGGAACCAGATATGGTGATGAAACGTGACTAGACATGGAGTATCTGAGCCAAAAGTAACGGAAAAGGAGAAAGAATTCGAGGATAGGTGGTCCCCTTTCATGGCGAGTTTAAAATAAGCCTGTTTAATTGGTGAACCGAGATATTGGGACCAGAGAAGAGGGGTTCCCTCCCCTCTCAGCAGATAAAAGAGAGTGGAACTCGGTAACGCTCAAACGTTCCTTCTTCCCTTCCTCTGCCCTTTCTCCCGTTTCCCCTCACTGATACTCTAAACGTTCCTCATTAGTTTGGTTATACAGTACTTCCTTACCTCCACCCCCCCCCTCCACATTTAAAATGTTGATGGACTCACTCAACTTGGGCAGCGGGCCCCCCCCCTTCCAACCACTTCCTTCCCCCTTCTCTTGTATAGAGCTCAGTTGCGTCGGGACGGCTCTTCGCGACTGTTCACTCATGGACTTGATTTGCACGACGGGTTATAACGGGCTCGTGTTCTTTTAAATAAAAGCCTAATAATAAAAAAAATAACTGTTTGTGTTTACTTTGTTGTCCTTCCCTCTGCACCTCCGATTAGCACGGTTGGCTGGTGCAAAATAAGTTCAACATACATAAATACGTGTCAAAGCATTGAGTAGGCAGTTAGATCCTGGGTTTAAATCCAGACATCCACCTGTGATTAAACCAGCTTCTTCAGTGCCAGTGAGTTCATGGTCTCAGCCCAGTCATTAACAATAATGCAAAACAATCCATCGAATTAAATTGGTTACGTAATGTAATGGATGACGACGTGTTGGAAAGGGGGGGGGGAATGAGGATAAAGATTAAAACTTAATTTCGGAGGTAGTTATATGACATCTGTTTATACAGGCAATTGCTTGGTCTGACAATTGGTTCATTTGGGCTCTATAATGTTGTGCTGTGTACGGTGGGAGGTGCTAAGTATTGCCATCTTGGTGTGCTGTCTGGTTTTAAGATTTGTCCATTATTTTTTTTTATTATTTTTGTCGGTGTTTTGTGCCGAGTTCTGTCACTTGAGTTTGACAATCGGCTTGAGAGTTCATCACGTTAAGGTAGTGCTTAAGTGATTGTTGAAGATGCACAATGGTTGTGAAACGGTTAATTTCCTGTAAAACTGTCGTGGTTAAGCGTCGTGTTGAGCTAAAGTTGGAATTACAACTTTGCTCAACATTTTCGTTAGTTTATCATTGATATACTTGTTTTAGTTGGTAAATATAACTTGAGATAATTGATTTCAGGATGTGCATGTATGGAGCGTTCGTTGGTAATGTGTTGGATGGCTTGGACTTCAGCACAAACACGGAGTGAACGAATGGGGTAAATAAATAATCAAATCAATGGGGAAGCAACGGGAGCGATGCACTTTTAAAACTAAATTGAAAACGTATTTCTTTAGAACTGCTTTTTGTGTTTAGTTTGTTGTCCTTCCCCCTGCACCTCCGATTATCACGGTTGGATACGTACGGTGTGAAAGAAGTTCAACACACATATATACATAGGCTGACAGAGGATTACACTGTGAGTGACCACATGGTGTATTTGTCCCGTTACACTACACTGATAAAACAATGCGGACAAAATTCGAGGAAAATGCATAAATTCTTTCATAAACAAAAATTATCATAGAATTACAACTTTCAAACCAATGTTATCCCCACCCATTAATTGCTTCCAACTGGAAAACTTGTTTGCAGAAAATAACGAATTAAGCTCTTGGATGGTGTGTCCTCTAAACTCCATGATAATTCAGTGGTTGGGTGCCCCTGTGTATACATTTTCCTTGCAAACAGAAATTTCCACAAATGCCGCTTTATAGCTTGTAATGTTGATTTAAAACATGTGTTTTTCACAACAAAAACCATGATCCATGTAAGTTTTGGTTTAGGCCACATATTAGTTTATTCCAAAAAGCTTGTAATGTTGTTTGAATTTCATTATAAAATATAGTACAATAAAACCCTTTCTATCCGCGAGGGTTACGTTTTTAATCTTGGCAGTTTCACTAGATTCTGCGCGCACCTCCCCAGTGTCGGTGGTCTGACTACGTATGCTCGTAAATACTGGAGTCCGGCGAGTCGCAAATAGGAATTAGTATACATTTAGTAACTTGCGAATCATCAAAACTCAAGAATCCAGAACTCGCGAATAGAGAAGGGTCACTGTACTGATGCCACTACAAAAAACAGGCATTTTTGGAACATACAATGCAATGCAAGTAGCGAATGTGCAGTGCAGTACTACAATGGGATTACCCGATTCGTTATGGTTCTGCGTAACGTAAAGATGCAGCAAGCAACACATCACTATTGTCTTGCGCGGTGTTGAATGTGTTTACATCAAGAGTGTGATTTTCTTCATAAAAAATATTCGTGGTCACCAAAACATTACCATTATATGCAGGGCATGGTATATCCGCCAACGTTATTTTGAGAATACACGTACGCTGGAATTGGTCAACATTAAATATTGTGCATTTACCACACATACACACAGAACATTCTGTATAGTGGCATCAGTGGCGCACTTTCAACAGAATACACCCAAAATACACATACCGTAAATCGCATAGTTGAATTTACCTAACGTTAACATCTCCAGGTACAAACCTTTATAGCCACATACGTTGAAATATAATAACGTTAAAATGTTAATTCCCCCAAAATGTAGAGGTGTCCAAGTTATAAAATGTCGGTTTTCTATATATATAATCGTGAATGTCTGTCTGTCCGTCTGTGTGTGTGTGTGTGTGGATTTCGGACCATACGCACTTTCATTGGACGGCGGTTGCCCCTGGCAATGGCTAGCGACGCCTTCGCCGCTTTCATTGGACCTGGCAACGGCTAGCCACGCCTTCGCCAAAGGCTGCAGTTTCATTGGACGGCGGTTGCCCCTGCCAACGGCTAGCCACGCCTTCGCCACTTTCATAGGCTCCGTAAATAATTAAATAATAGCCATTACACAGTATTGTTGGCGCGCTGAGGTGGGGGGGGGAAGGAACGCCACCCGTACCCTGCCTCTGCCGGGTGGCCAATTTTGGCGAGGCCGCAGGCTCTGCACGCTACTAGGCCTCGACACCCACCACGCCACTCTGAGGTAAATTCATCAAAGTTTTTCCTACTCTTCACTCCACCCCCACCACAATGTGTGCAATTAATATTACTTTTAAACCCAACGCGCCAACAATCGATTACTTAAATGTTCACTGTACAAATAGTCACTAAGCTGGGTCAGCGTACTGCCAGTCTATCATGTACACTGTAGCCTGCTTATTAAGCTCGGTGAGCGTACTGCCACTCTATCATGTACACTCTAGCCTGCTTATGAAGCTGACTGCGTGTACTGGCAGTCTATAATGTGGACTGTAGCCTGGTTATTATAATCGATTCTTTATATGTTCTTTGTACAAATAGTCATTATGCTGCTTGAGCGACCCCAGTTCGATTCCAACTCACGCCCACCACCGCTGACGATTATTTGAAACGGACCTGGCCCTCCCCTAGGTCCACTCAGCCTCAAACGCGTAACTGCTGTCGTGTGTGAACATCGTCACTGGGGAGACAAATGGGCGGCCGGGCATCGTGGATCCAAGTCCCGGGCGAAGCCGGGTCATGTGTATGTGTGTATGTGTTTATGTGTATGTCTGTGTGTCTCTATGTATGTGTGTATGTATGTATGTGTTTGTGTGTATGTGTGTGTGTATGTATGTGGGTTTTTTTCTATGTCTTTATGTGTATGTCTGTGTGTCTGTATGTATGTGCGTATGAACGTGTGTGCATGTGCTTGTGTGTATGTATGTGTGTGTCTATGTATGTGTGTGTATGTCTTTCTGTGTATGTATGTGTGTATATGTATGTGTGTTATGTGTCTGTCTGTGTGTCTGCATGTATGTGTGTGTATGTGTTTGTATGTGTTTGTGTGTTTACGCTCGCATTACACAAATGTGTTGCAGGTCTAAGGCGTTCCTTGCGCAGCATTGCCGCTTTATTATTTCAGTCGTTTACTGCCGTACGCACCCTGAAAGTCGTGTGTGTCTGCAGCAAGCGCGTGTATGTGTACCTATGGACGCGCGCGCGTGTGTTGTGTAGGGGGAACGGTAGTGTAGTGCTTAGCGTGCTGTCTGTGTCTGTGTGTGTGTGTCTGTGTGTGTGTGTCTGTGCTGTGTTGTGGGGAGCGGTAGTGCAGCGGTTAGCGCGCTGCGCTATGAACCTGGCGACCCGGGTTCGATTCCCGCTCACGGCTAACACCAGTGACGATTATCTGAACCGGTCCTGGGCCTCCCCTAGGTCGACTCAGCCTTAAATGAGTACCTGGTGCGGTGTGTAAACATCGCCACTAGGGAGACAAAGGCGGTCGGGCGTGGTGCTGGCCACCCACCCCCTCGTGTACCGTTCCGGCCTTCATAGGTGTTCGCTAACAGCACTTGCCCCTACAGTCTGTTCAGGCTATACGGGCGAACTTTGTCTTTGTATCTTTGTGTGTCTGTGTGTGTCTCTGTGTGCGTGTGTGGTGTGTGGGGAGCGGTAGTGTAGTGGTTAGCGTGCTGTCTGTGTGTCTGTGTGTGTGTGTGTCTGTGTGTGTGTCTGTGCGTGTGTGGTGTGTGAGGAGCGGTGGGTGTAGTGGTTAACGCTACGCTGCGCTACAAACCCGGCGAACCGAGTTCCATTCCCGCTCACGGCCACCACCGGTGACGATTATTTGAACCTCCCCTAGGTCGACTCAGCCTCAAACGAGTAACTGGTGTGGCGTATTAACATCGCCACTGGGGAGACAAAGGCGGCCGTGCGTGAGTGGTGAGGGAGGGAGAGTGGTGAGGGAGGGAGAGTGATGAGGGAGGGAGAGTGGTGAGGGAGGGACTCAGCCGCAAAACGAGTAACTGCTGTAGCGTATTAACATCGCCACTGGGGAGACAAAGGCGGCCGGCCGTGGTAGATACAAGTCCCGGGCGAAGCCGGGTAGTACAGCTAGTGTATACATAAAACAACGATTTTAAAAGTATAATTGCAAGTCAATGTCTACTGAAATCTCATGAGAATGTCTGTGCGTTATGTAACTTCTGCAGTTAACGCAGGAATCCCACATTTAGAGCTTTCGAGCTCACTGGCACCCTCTTGCAGGGATAGAGGTAACTGAACTGTATTTCCCTACTACACCTTAGTCTAAGATGACAAAAAACATGCTGCACATTTTTAAAATTATTTAAGTATCGTTTTGCCTCCTGCGATTAGGCTGAAGCCTAATGCATATCACAGTGTAATACTTTTCCATGGTTTTACATTTATTTCCTCTGGAAATGTGAATACAGAAGCAACTTTATCAAATTATTTCAAAGGCAATTGCGTGCAGACTTTATCAGTCAAACCAGCATACATCACTGTAGTGTGACGTTACGTCACAGCTCGATATGATTGAGTTTGCGTGGCGTCGGCATAGCCAATCGCAGTGGTGGTATTGCTGTCCATTGTCTGAATTTCCATACTAGTACAAAGGTGGGCTGTACGTTGTTGCGGTAAAGACAAATAAAGATCAGGACTTTAAATTGACGACGTTAATTGCAAATGCACGTTATTTACGCGGTACATCTGCTGGGGACGTTTAGAGAAAACAAAGCATTAATGCAAAACAATATGTTGATCTGTTGGAGGTTATAATAGAGGCAACAATATATAATAGATTACCTACTTTGCCATATGGATAAGAAAAATGGATGGTTGATCTTGGAAATGTAACAATATTTGAAAGGTGTGCAAAGTAATACAAATGTAACTATTTATTTAAAAAATGTATGATATCAGGTAAGTGCCACTGAGCTGTACAGCTCTTTTTAGAAGCAACCTGGTCACCAATAATCACTCGACGAAGTAGATTATCACATGGAACTGTAAAGCAGCGAAATACTTTAAACGTGTGACGTTGATTCAAAATGTGGAGAGGAAAACCGGAGGACTCGGAGGAAAATCCACGAGACCTCGGGGAGAACACACAAACTGAAAATATACAGTATATACAGTATATTTGGAGTTTGAATGTTTCTCTCTCCTCCACATTAATAAGCATGCGTTTAAAGTTTTTGGCTGCTGTAAATCTTCATGTGATAAACCATTTCGTTGGGCCATCATTTGTTATAGCCAGGTTGCTTCTAAAAAAAGAGATAAATAGCTCTGTGGGCCTTAGCTGGTAAAACAAAAAGTAGTTTTTAGTTTTACACAGGCGTCAGGGTCGCCATAAAGCCAACAACCTATTGTATACAAGGTGAGGTACATCTCCCAGCCACCGTAGCGCCCTGGAGAGGGTTAATAAAGTGCGCTTGGAATATGGAGCCTTTGTGGAAAGATATGATAGTCAGCGGTCGAAGTTAATGGTGGAGACGGAATGATGAATTAAACTCGTAAGCGTCAGCCTCATGGGTTGTTGAATTGCGAAATCATGAGATGTAGCTATGGATTGGAAAGTCCTTCACCTACAAGTGCGCAGATCATGGCTGCGCAGATCAATTATGATGATTCATCAGCCGTGGAAACTCTCTTTTGGTCTTCACTGGGGTCTTGTGAACGAGTGGGTAATTGTAGTGCTATTGAAGGATTCTTTGTCATTAAAAATGAAACGCAGGCTCATGATAACAACTTGCTGGATTTGCCAGAGGTTCATCGTGCGAAATTGGAGAACCTGGTGAAAATGGAAGCCCTGCAACACAGAGACAAAAACATGAAAATAATCAGATTCATTACATTTAAATGCATGAGACGTGGGTTCGATCCCGACCCTGATGCCGGCTGTATATTTAAAGTTTGCATGTTCCCCCCATGGTTGCATGGATTTTCTCCGGGTTCTCCGATTTTACCCTCCACATTTAGAAACATGCTTTTAGAGTATTCGGCTGCTATAAATATCCACATGATAAGCCACTTCATTCAGCTATAAGTTGTGGCCAGGTCGCTTCTAAAAAAGAGATAAATAGCTCAGTTGTCCTTTACGTGGTAAAACATAAATAGTTTACAGTTCAGTTTATACCTAGCTCACTGAGAGATTTCTACTGCAAGTCTGCTGCCCCTATAGTTGGAACTTCATTGCCATAACCATCCGTGCAGTTGACTCCCTTGCCTATGACTGACTGCCAAATATGAAACAAATGTCCACCGTTTCTGTACAACATATTCAGATTATGTTCATAATTATATGGTTTTGTAAAACTACATTAACATAACGTCATGGGTCTGTAGTAGGATAACTATGAGAAGAAAAAAAAGAAAGCAAATTATTTTCAAATCTGTGTTAAGAGAAGGTGATAGGTCTGACACACAGGCTCAACAGTTTTGAAATTCCAATTTACGGGTCCCACGTGGAGACCCATAACTCAGCCCCTCACCTCTTGTACTTTCTCATTAAATCACCAATTACATCGGCATTGGATTCCTATGATATCCTGCATCATGTGCAATTAACTATGTTACATATGCATGTTGACATGATTTCGCACCATACAGAGATAACCACGCGAATCGGAGGTGCGGGGGGAAGGACAACAAACTAAACACAAAACGCAGTTCTAAAGAAATACGTTTACAATTTAGTTTTAAAAGTGCATAGCCCCAGTAGCTTTCTAATGTCGGAAGGCGGAGCGTTCCAGATGGCCGCAGCAGCGCATCTAAAAGTGCACGATGTGGTGACCATTTTTATACAATGGCTAACCACAAGTCACTGCGATGGTTTATGCTCCTTAACGACAGTATACACAGTACATGGTAAGGTTATGTTACAGATCAGCCTTGTATGTGGTCGCGCTAAGTGAGGTCCGCGTATAGATTAACACGCCCGTGCATTGCTCATGCGTGGGAAATGGTTTTAAAAGCAATTTCTATAAAAAAAAAGGTAGAAAAGCTACACATTTCTAAACAAACCTGACACATGTCGATGACAGATTATTATTTTTGCGCTGAACGTGCGCAAAAAAAATTCAATGGGATCAAAATCATTGTGATTTGAACTGGCTCCCTGTAAAGTACAAAATCGACTTGAAGATTCTGCTTCTCACGTTTAAGGCATTCAATGGGCTGGCTCCTAAATATCTCGCCGATCTGCTCAAGTTTTATAAACCACTGCGAAAACTTAGATCAGCTGATTTTGGTCCACTACTCATCAGTCCAAGAACAAGACTGTCATGTTCTATTGGAGATGGAGCCTCCCGGAGCCAGGCTTCGTAATTGTGGAATCCTCTTCCTCGGGTCCAGGATTACATCTTAAAACTCACCTATTTGTACAACAGGCTTTTCCAGTAACTTTATATTATAACATACTATGTTGGTGTCTAATTGGATTACTCTGTAAGTATTATAATTCGTAGCTCCTCATTTTATTGTAATTGCGAATGTAGTCATTGATATTGCTATAAGCTTTCTAGTTCGCTGATATTTTATCTACACTTTTGAGTGTAGTTTAACTTTAATTTACAGCGCTTTGAGATACTTAAAAATGAAAGGCGTGTTATAAAATAGAGGTTATTATACTCTTTGGTTCTTTTGGTATAAAATAATACCTACGTGACTTGATCGAAAGAACCAAAGAGTATGGATTCCTGCAGTTATGAAAGCTTCAAATCAAGATAGAGGTTATTATATTTATTATTGTACCATGAGGTCATATGTTGCAAAAGCTCCTGGGCAACATTTCTTTAAAGTTTTTGAGAGTCAACAAACCTGCCAAATTTTATTGAGATATATCTGCAAATCTATGGGACTTTATAATAATCCCGGGAACTCTGTCTGAACCTATAGAACTCTATGTCAGTCATTGGTGGTGAGCCACTAAAGTTGAGTACCTCGTTTGAATCACAGATGGCGGAAAAACATCTGAGCCACCTCCTCGAGACTTCTCTGTTTTATCACTCACCCAGCGCTTTTAGCCACTTGCGTAGCCCTTGATCGTATTGTTTCTGCACGGCCTTCAGAGCTACCAGCAGCTTCTGGAATTCCTCCTCTCCGCTGATGAAGTGCTCGAGTATGAAGGCGGCGCACTCGCCCTTGTCCTTGATGTCTCTGGCCGTGTTGTAGACATGCCGCTGGATGTACCACTTGCTGTCCAGCTCGTCCAGCAGGACCCAAGGGTCCTTGGTGATCCACTTCTTTAGATCCTCACGGCTGGTGATGATTCTCTCTCGCGTTCCCTCCTCCACAATCACAATTGCTGCCTTATTTTCTGTGGCGCAGTAAAATAATATGTTTACATATTGACATGTTGTGCTTGGTTAAAGATGCATGTAACTTTCAGCCAACGCTGAACATTCGTACGTACGTATGTTGAACTTCTTTCGCACAGTGCGTAGCCAACCATGCTAATCTGAGGTGTAGGGGAAGGACAACAAACTAAACACACAAAGTAGTTCTGAAGAAATTCGTTTTCAATTCAGATTATTTTAAAGCGCATAGCTCCAGTGGCTTCCTAATATCGGAAGAAAGAGCATTCTAGACGGTCGTATATTCATCCGACTTCAATGCATAGAGATAGACCAAGAGTGAGGAACCCTTTCCATGAATGAAGGCCAAAGATAACATTAAATACGTTTAGAAAGTAAAACAAAGCCTGTAACAGACTGTTGGGTCAAGTGCTGTTAGTGATTATCAGCACTCAATGAAGGCCGACACTGTGGCACACGAGGTCGGTGGCCAGTAGAGGCCGACCGAAACTGAATTTCGGGTTTCGGCCGAAACCGAAACCAGACCGAAAGTAAAAAATTGACTTTCGGCCGAAACCGAAGTCGAAAACGAAAGTTTAACTACACTTTCGACCGAGACCAAAACAGAAAGGTATATAAACGAAGTTACCAAACAAAAGATTTATGAAATATGTCATGATACAATGCTAATTTAATTAAAAATAAATCTAGAATTAATAATTCAGAGCCTGCAGTAAGAGTCGCTAAATATCAAATCTTGTGTTACTTAATTAGTAATTATATCCAAACAAACGAATGTTGTAGTTAAGAAACAACAGTTTTTTCCGCATTCAGCCGGACAGGCTGCCATCTGTTGACTGGTCGTATATACATTAGCAGACCATGGTTGCGGCTGTAACCTCGCTCCCAAGCTGCTGCTGCTGACATGTGTGTGTTTGCAGCCTATCGCATAGGATTGCCTAGCGCCAACTGACCGACCAATAGGGAGAGTGATAGACGTAGCACTAGCATTATATTAAAAAAAATTATCTTCGGTTGACGAATGACCGAAAGTCAATATCAGTTTCGGCCGAAACCGAAACCAGACCGAAAGTAAAAAAATAACCTTTGGCCGAAACCGAAAGCATGCCGAAAGAGGCCATTTGCCAAATTTCGGCGCCGAAACCAAAACCGAATTTCGGTCGGCCTCTAGTGGCCAGCACCACGCCCGGCCGCCTTTGTCTCCCAAATGGTGATATTTACACACCACACCAGATACTCATTTGAGGCTGAGTCGACCTAGGGGAGGCCCAGGACCGGTTCAGATAATCTTCACTGGTGTTGGCCGTGAGCTGGAATTTAACTCGAGTAATCAGGTGTGGCACAGCACGCTAACCACTCCACTACCGCTTGCCATATAGAAGTCAAACAAACATCGTCACATGCCTAAGTGATTTATGTTACTGCAATAGGCGCTACAGTGACAACAGTGACTGGGCACGGGTGGTAGCATAATAGGTGTTGGGCCTCCGCTTCACCAATGAGAGTTTTTTTTACATTTTACAACTTTAGGCCAATTGAGCTACTATATAGTTTTTTTTTCAGAAGCGACCTGGCTATCACATATGATAGCCCGATGAAGCGTCTTATCACGCGTAAATTTTAAAGCAGCCAAATACTTAAAATGCGTGTTGATTCTCAACACGCAGATAATAAATCCACGTGACCATGAGGAGAACATGTAAACTACAGAGCTCCCTTTCCTGGAGGCCTTTCCTGCAGCAGCGGCGTGAGCAGCAAGCAATGACATACCGAGAGAGCTGAGCCACTGCTTGATCTCGGGGAATTTGTCCTTGAGCTCCTGGAGTGTCTCCAGCAACCTTTGACACTTCCTCTCTCCTCCGTCGATGAAGTGGTCGAGCAGGAAGCCAGCCTGTTCCATTGCAGCCATCCTCGTGGCTTTGGAATAGACGTGCCCTGCGATGTGTCCCCTCCTCGTCAACTCGTCCAGCAAAGTAGAGGGGGAGCTAGCACTAGCGACCCACTTCTTCAGATCGGGCTTATTGCCGCGGATCACGTGCTCAGCGTTCCCAGGCACGACCACGATTTTTTTTTCTGTAAGATGGAATTTCGGATACAATCCAAGATATAATTTTGGTCAAATCTGTCAACACTCCCTACCTGCTAAATCCCGCAACTGCTGCAAAGTAGACACGTGACCTCCCAACATCTGCCCTAACAGTAATCTCACCAACCTGGTCTTCATGTGAAAAATAATATCTGGGTTTTATTCTTTCTGGCAATAAAACAAGAGGTGTTAAGATGCGCAAACGCAAAATAAAAACCTTTTGCAAGACATCAAGTTTGCATTAGCCACACACAGTACTTATGGCAAAACATGGAAAATAACATGCTCTGATAATATTGCCATTGTCTTTGAAACTGATTGACCTGTACTATATTATCAGAGCATGTTTGTTTGCATGTTTTGCCACAAGTACTGTGTGTGGTTAATGCAAACTTGATTCCTTGCAAAAAGTAAAAATTTGGTGTTTTAACATCTTAACGCCTATTTTATTTCCATGAAGGGTAAAACCAATGTTTATGTCTCATACTTTGATACTGGCAAGACTCGTGGAGACCTTTATTAATTCCTGTCTCGGTAACCTGCCATCCCACACCCTGCACAATCATATCTACAGTACTCACCAACCGTGGTCTCTGTCACATTACGGCACTGCTAATCCTGTATCGGCACTAAATTCCCAGGATCAGTCTTAGACATATGTTCAATGTCAACAACTCCTTTACAAGCCACTTGGTTAAAATCTCTGACCCATACAATATTACAGAAAGCAATAACATTTTTTCCTACTAAAATCCATCTATTGCCTTCCAAAATGGTTTCTATGGCACATCAATAGCCTGCCATGCCAAAGCAATAAGCCACTTGGCCTGCTTCTCAACCCACCGCATGATGGAGATTGATGCCTAACTACAAAAAGTAGATTACTACCTCAACCTTTGCTTTTCATATCCGGTCTGGTGATCCTGCTGCAGGAGTCCTATTTATAGCTGCCGTGATTAACTTTGTCCAGCCTCAGTGCCTAAGACTGCCACCAAAGCTGCATAACATTAATATTCCAAGTCCTGCACGCTCATCACACCTTGATTGATTCCTAAGTTTCCTACTGTGCTAACCCCATTCATGGTCTAAGTGTATATGCAGGAGAGCATAACGATGAATAAGAATAAATTCATAATAAAGAATAATAAAATAACATTTTAACGAACACCTGCCCTAACATCAAATCATGATGAAGTTTTACCTTCTATCCGTATATAGCCCTGACCACCATCTTACAAGTTTTTGTATCAGCCAACTTATTTTGGGTTGCATTGAGTCTAGGAGTTCCTGCCACACAGTTACACCTCCCTTAACCTTCACAAAGCAAAGCCAAGGATCCTCCCCATACTTCCAGCAGTTCTCTCTATCAAAAGTCTTACTGTCAATTTTCGAAGTTTGTAGTTTGACTGTGGCACAAAATGGCACACTCAATTCTAACAACGTCAACAATCTTAAATATCCACTGCGAAGCAAACGGAACGTATTTTATGTTTACTTTGTTATAAACCAGCGCGGGCCTTTGGATTTAAAGTTGTTAACCTCTGCAAACAAGTGGAACATTTTCTGTTGTTGGTTCATGTCTCATCAAGGAGTAGAAAGCATCACCACTTGAACTCCGTTCATCATCACAGGGGGTTTTGGCTAACCATTTAACAAAGACGGTCGGCGTATCACGCACTTTCAGATGCGTGTCTGCGGCCGCCTGGAACACACTTCCTTCTGATATTAGGAAGCCAACTGGAGATACACACTTTTACATAATCTATATTGACAAACTAATTTCTTTAGAATCGATTTTTGTACACTTTGGTTATTTCGGTAAAATAACGTAGAAAATAGGATGATCGCTTGTGTGGCGATCGAAACATCGTGATCTATTATGATTTTTCTATGTGACTTTACCGAAAGAACCAAAGAGTATGGATTCCTGCAGTCACGAAAGCTTCAAATCAAGATCTATTTTTGTGTTTAGTTTGTCGTCGTTCCCCCGAACCTTTTGCACGGTTGGCTATGTACGGTGAGAAATAATTTCAATTATTTGCATACATTCATCCTCGCAGTTGCTTTTAGTTATCCACTCTTGTCACTATAATTTATAGGGATTCACTTTTACTTTAACTCTGGCCAGCCCTGACAATGCTGACAGTGGCTTTTCTATCATATATGCTGTTGGGGTCCACTAGGATCTTGTTCCTAGTGTGGTTATGTTGAAAGGACTATGCACAGATAATTCTTTATCTTACCTGGGGGATTGGTGCTGTTGGTTTCCCTTGTAAGTCCTGTAAAAGAGACACATACACACACAGTGCTGTCACAAATTAACCACTATACCTCGCTGATCTCGTCAAGAAGCACAAAACATCATCACATGAACCCCGCTCATCCTTCAAACCTTCTATTTTTTCGCCATCGAACAAAGATGGTCACCGCATTGTGTTCTTTCAGATACGCTTCTGCAGCCATCTGGAACGTTCTTCCTTCCTATACTAGGAAGCCACTGGAGCTACGCACTTGCAAATGATCTAGATTGAAAACTCAATTCTTTTTGTAGATTTTTACGTGTAGTTTGTTGTCCTTCCCTTGCACCAATAATTATCACGGTTGGCTACGTATGGTGAGACAGAAGTTCAACATACATTCAAGTATATGTAATTAGATAGAACTCACTGGAAAAGATTGCAGCAAATGGTGGCAATAAGTATTCATCTCGCAAATAATATAATGGGCAATATTGATGACCACGATCATCATCATCACCATCCATGGGCAGACAGCCCGTAGGTGTCCCCTGCACATTTCGTCATTTGTTTTTTGCTTTCCTCTGTCTTGTGCCAATATGTTAAAGTAGTACCACCTATTTCTGGCACCAATCACTTCTCATACCGTTGTCAAGCCTTTCTCTGTTAGGTCTTCCTTCTCTTTCCGATTCCTTCCATTTTTCCGAAGAACATACTTTTAAGTTTGCTGTTGTTGTCCATCCTACTACATGTGTCCAAATAGTGCCAGTTACCTTCTTCCTTCTTTTGATGACGATTAATTACCCATTAATTAGAAGCACCAGCTACCACGAACAACATAAAAAAAAATTGCACGCATTTGTTACATATATTTATATCTCTGACATGACACGGTCATTGAGGGTCAGTCCGAGGCCACCCCTGTCCATGATACGCACACAGCGGCAGATTGAGGAGCAAACCAACTTACCCATTCTCTTTGGAAATGCACAAAATTCAGACTAGGAAGAGCGAGAGTTCCCATGTGAGTGTTAACGTGGATCTGTGCAACGGTACGGATTCAGTCTTTTTGTCCATCTACTCCAACCTCTATTTCCCCTCCTTTGTCCTCCTGCCCCTTTCCACATCCTCCACCTTCTGTTGTCCCCCACTTAATACCTCGCCTCGTCATATTTGATTGCTCCATATCTGAAACCCTGTCGGTGTATCTTTTCCTTCTCTCCCTTGCTCCCTTATCCCTTCTACCCCCTCTTGGTACGGTTCCCTAATCGCTTTTTTCTACCTCAACTTCTGTACAGTTTTGTGTCCCTTTCCCCATAGTCTCCCTGATTTGTGAGCCCTGCCCCCTCCGGGTGCCCCCTCCCCCCCCCAATCAGAGGTCTCCTCCCATATAACCTCCCTTTGCCTGCCCCATTGCTTCAGTTAGTTGACCAGGCAGGGAGTAACGGAGTCATCCTGGGCTAATGCCCAGGAGAGCGGGATACCCTCAAATCCACTTCGTGTTCTTCATCCCTCAGTCTACATCCAGCTCTCTCCCTTCCTGTTTAACCCTTGTCATACTCCTCTTATCCCCTGATTAGAGCTACATACAAAGCTCTCTTATCATTACCATATGTTCAGATTTCTTTGTTTGAGCCCCTTCCCTCACCACTTCCATTTTCCCTTGACTCCAGTCTCAACAATATCAAGGGCTCGGGCCTGTTTACTACCCCATCCTGACAACCCCCGCCCATTGTGTCCTCCTGTTTCTTCAAAGTGAAGTACCGTTGATGACGCTTGGACACCGTTGTAAGGCACACGTGTTTATTCGTACAAGTAGTCACACTGCGGACATACAATACTAGAGGGGTGTATCGGCCCCCTCACCCGGATAGCTGGGAATACTCTACTAGCTACCCCTGACCTACCTCCTGGTCCTCCACTAATGGGCTAGGGGAGGCTATCTGGCCCGACACTGGTCAGTCGGGCTACGGTACCCGGAGTCCCAGAGTACTAACTCTGGTTCACGGGACCACGCCACTGGCTCGGTCCTGCGCGGCCCTGACAAGGGCGGCGTCCCAGGGGAGTCCAGGGCTCTAGCTAGTCGATCTTCTGTCTTCCCTACTTTTACTCTAAACTCCCCCCCGAGCTCTCCGGCTCATCCACATTTATACCCCCCGGAGGATCACAACCCCCCGGGCAGCCCCCCAGGCCGCCCGGTGCGGACGTCGTTGCGGGCACCTCCCCGTGTACTCACGGAGCCCCGCCCACTGTGTTTGTTACCCGTGTGATCCTATGCATACAGCCCTACACATACAGCCCCTCTGTAACAGCCCTACAAAAGCATTGAGAATGATGATGCAATGGGCGCCTTTATTTGTTCTTCAAGATCACTTTGCTATCCATCGACCTATATTGATGGTTGTATTCTGTTTATTAAATTAAGATACGAAGTTAGGTGCTGCACTCGAGTCTCACCAAAAGCCAAGGTTTTGTTGGGGGCTCCACATTTTGAACCCAAGGGTTTTTCTTTTGGGTGGGACTCGACTGTGCGTAGTTCGGTTGTATTTTATCCCCCTGTATCCCTTTTATTTCATGCAGCGATGGTCCACAGCCAAAGCAAGCCTCCACCCTCTGAAATGACTGCCAATAAATATGACTAACAACACACACTGGATCGCGCTTTCCTGACCCCCAGTAACTTTGAAGAAAACCCCCCTCTATGATCAAACTAAAAAGTCTCCCTCAATGTAAACGCCCTGAACCACCCTATCATGAGACAGCGTACCCTTCTCATGTTTTAGGCAAGCATGAGGCTGATGTTGCATTCCTGCAAGAAACGCATCTCACTCAACGAGAGGATTAGCTATTCTCATTAATGAAAGGATATAAATGACCCAAGAAATGCTCACATTAGACCCCGAAGGGGGTACATATATCTTGTAGGAAAATTGTCGGGCAAGGATGTCACCCTTTTGAACGTCTATACCCCCCACCCCAGTCAATTCAAAAGTGTTACTCTAATCACGGCTCTGATTGAGAAAAGGAATGGGGACCTTCTCGCAGGAGGAAATTGGAAACTGGTTAAAGATCTCGTTCTTGATAAATCGCACTCACCTGTTTCTGACCAAAACGCGGCACAGCAGCTTCTACTCACTGAACCAATCATTCAACACCAGTTGACAGACCATTGGAGGACCCTCCACCCTACTGAAAAAGTTTTTACTCACATTTCTAGAACCTATAAGATGCTTTCCAGAATCGATTATTACTATCTTATCTCAAGGCCCCTGTTACCACACGAAAGCAGATAATGACTAATTATTCATCACTAGACCGTCGATTCTTAGAGGACAATTAACAGTTTAAGAAATCAGAGAGGAAACTGAGGAATGTATTCAGATTCATTCTGCTCTATCCTTGCCTCTCTTCTCAAATATTATGGAACACACTTAAAGTGTACATAGAGGTTCTCTTATGGAGACGGGAGCTTATAAAAAATCCTGGAAAAAACAACAGCAGGCTCCCCAGAAGATATGGTGGATAGCTAGAGGTCACTATCTCTGTTAAATGCAGACTATAAGGTATTAGCTAAAACTTTAATTGATAGACTGAAAAGGATTCTCCCAGCGATTATATGGACAGCTCAGACGGGTTTCGTCAAAAAAAGAGACTCTGCTGAAAACGTCAGGACCCTCGTCAATACAACAGAGATTACTAACAGGCACAATCTCGCCGCACATGCCTTGATGCTGGATGGGGAAAATGCGTTTGATAGAGTTGAACGAGACATTCTATTTAGGGTAATGAGTAAAGTTAAATTTCCCTGACAATTCATAGACATGTGCAATATCCTATACACACATCCCACGGCCTCAGTTATGGCAAACGGAATAAGATCTGGGAGTTTTTCGTTGGGGAGGAGGTCGAGACAGAGCTGTCTGCTTCCCCCTCTACTCTTCACCCTGGCAATGAAACTACTCTCTGCAAATGAGAGTAGGTTTTCCCCTTTTATCTGGCGTCCTCTTGTCTAACACTTCCTCTGGTCAATCGAAATTATTTAAAAGTGCATAGATCCAGTGGCTTGTTAAATAGCAGAAAGAAGAGCATTCCAGAAGGTCGCAGGAGCGCATTTGGAAACATGCGATGCTGTGACCATATTTGTTCGATGGCCAGCCAAATGCCGCTGCTGCAAGGACGACCGGAGTTCGTGTGATGGTTTAAAAAAACTTACCTAGAGCATCACTTACCTAGAGAGCTTAGCCAAGTACGTAGTGCATCATCGTAATGTCGATGCACGGCTTTCAGAGCTACCAGCAGCTTCTGGTATTCCTCATCTCCGCTGATGAAGTGCTCGAGAATGAAGGCGGCACACTCGCCCTTGTCCTTGATGTCTCTGGCCGTGTTGTAGACGTGCCGCTGGATGTACCACTTGCTGTCCAGCTCATCCAGCAGGACCCAGGGGTCCTTGGCGATCCACTGTTTCAGATCATCGTGGCTCCTGGTGATTATCTCTCTCGTCCCCTCTTTCACAACCACGATCTGCGAGTTGTTTTCTGCGGTACATTCATCACTGTTGTCGTCACGCTGGTGCGGGGTTTGTCGTAAAAAATGACGTCATCATATGCCAACTACAATACCAGCTTGCCTATGAATACTTACTCTCTGTTTCTTTCGGTAAAGTCACGTAGATAGAAAATAATAATAAAAGAACACGACATTTCGGTCGCAACACAATAGTCCATCATCAGGTGAGAAAGAATGATCTGCTGTTGTGGCGGGAAGGGAGGGGCTGGGGTTTTGTAGAATCGTGGCTGCAGGAGTTCAGGGGGGAGAGGGGGGAGGGTTTGTGGTGCGCAGGGCCGGGTGGGGGCTGCAGAAAACATATGATTAATCTACATTGTTTTATGGTTGTTGTTGGCTTGCACCACATTGTGTTTTTTGCACACAGCGTTTTAATACGTTCTTTTTTGGGGGCGATATTTTCTGGTTTATTCTAGGATATTTCTGTTGTGCGTCGTCGCTTTGGGATGTTCTGTGTTCATATTTTGTTTGTTGCGGTTGCACCTGACTTAAGAGCCGCATGGCTCACAGGGCTATACCTAATAAATGAAACTTGAATATCATATTCTTAGGTTTTTTCGTTAAAGTCACGTAGGTAAAACATTAAAATTTATAAAAGTAAAATAAAATAAAAATCACGACGTTTCGGAGGCGACACAAGCTTCCGTCTTCAGGTGGAACCGTCACAGCCACAACAGCTGTATCATGTAAATGAGAGATTACAAGAGCTACCACTCCGTATATATAATGGTTGGAGAGGGGGAAGGGCCAAGTACGGCACACTTTTTATTAATATGGTAAGGTGAGGCTTAAGAGGCTGAGCCTTTGTTATGGAGAGATACGGTCTGTGACTAAGCCTGGCCTACATAACAATAGTGTGAAAAAATAAACAACTAAACATGGTAAAACAAGCCTGGCTGTCTATCAATAACCTGTAATAGTTGTCTGTCAAATAAGATGGTCCAAATAAGTGTAGCTAAATCTTTTTTGCATGGTTAATCACATCTTTCCAATGATTACTCAGTTTGTAACCATCATCACGGTTGAAATTATGTCTGTGTTTGTATATTTGTATGGCTTCATGTACAAATCTTTGATGATAGCCAGGAGGTTTGCAGAGCACCTTGGTCTCGGAAAATACAATTTCATGAGAGCCCACCGAGTTGTAGCAATGATCGGCAACGGCCGAAGAATCAGTTCTGCCGTGTTTCAGATCTGACTTGTGCTCCTTCTGGTGGATTCTTCGGCCATTGCCGATCATTGCTACAACTCGGTGGGCTCTCATGAAATTGTCTTTTCCGAGACCAAGGTGCTCTGCAAACCTCCTGGCTACCATCAAAGGTTTGTACACGAAGCCATCTATATATATAAAATCGTGAATGTCTGTCTGTCCGTCTGTGTGTGTGTGTGTGGATTTCGGACCATACACACTTTCATTGGACGGCGGTTGCCCCTGGCAACGGCTAGCGACGCCTTCGCCGCTTTCATTAGACCTGGCAACGGCTAGCCACGGCTTCGCCAAGGGCTGCATTTTCATTGGACGGCGGTTGCCCCTGCCAACGGCTAGCCACGCCTTCGCCACTTTCATAGGCTCCGTAAATAATTAAATAATAGCCATTACACAGTATTGTTGGCGCGCTGAGGTGGGGGGGGGAAGGAACGCCACCCGTACCCTGCCTCTGCCGGGTGGCCAATTTTGGCGAGGCCGCAGGCTCTGCACGCTACTAGGCCTCGACACCCACCACGCCACTCTGAGGTAAATTCATCAAAGTTTTTCCTACTCTTCACTCCACCCCCACCACAATGTGTGCAATTAATATTACTTTTAAACCCAACGCGCCAACAATCGATTACTTAAATGTTCACTGTACAAATAGTCACTAAGCTGGGTCAGCGTACTGCCAGTCTATCATGTACACTGTAGCCTGCTTATTAAGCTCGGTGAGCGTACTGCCACTCTATCATGTACACTCTAGCCTGCTTATGAAGCTGACTGCGTGTACTGGCAGTCTATAATGTGGACTGTAGCCTGGTTATTATAATCGATTCTTTATATGTTCTTTGTACAAATAGTCATTATGCTGCTTGAGCGACCCCAGTTCGATTCCAACTCACGCCCACCACCGCTGACGATTATTTGAAACGGACCTGGCCCTCCCCTAGGTCCACTCAGCCTCAAACGCGTAACTGCTGTCGTGTGTGAACATCGTCACTGGGGAGACAAATGGGCGGCCGGGCATCGTGGATCCAAGTCCCGGGCGAAGCCGGGTCATGTGTATGTGTGTATGTGTTTATGTGTATGTCTGTGTGTCTCTATGTATGTGTGTATGTATGTATGTGTTTGTGTGTATGTGTGTGTGTATGTATGTGGGGTTTTTTCTATGTCTTTATGTGTATGTCTGCGTGTCTGTATGTATGTGTGTATGAACGTGTGTGCATGTGCTTGTGTGTATGTATGTGTGTGTCTATGTATGTGTGTGTATGTCTTTCTGTGTATGTATGTGTGTATATGTATGTGTGTTATGTGTCTGTCTGTGTGTCTGCATGTATGTGTGTGTATGTGTTTGTATGTGTTTGTGTGTTTACGCTCGCATTACACAAATGTGTTGCAGGTCTAAGGCGTTCCTTGCGCAGCATTGCCGCTTTATTATTTCAGTCGTTTACTGCCGTACGCACCCTGAAAGTCGTGTGTGTCTGCAGCAAGCGCGTGTATGTGTACCTATGGACGCGCGCGCGTGTGTTGTGTAGGGGGAACGGTAGTGTAGTGCTTAGCGTGCTGTCTGTGTCTGTGTGTGTGTGTCTGTGTGTGTGTGTCTGTGTGTGTCTCTGTGTGTGTGCGTGTGTGGTGTGTGGGGAGCGGTAGTGTAGTGGTTAGCGTGCTGTCTGTGTGTCTGTGTGTGTGTGTGTCTGTCTGTGTGTGTCTGCGTGTGTGTCTGTGTGTGTGTCTGTGCGTGTGTGGTGTGTGAGGAGCGGTGGGTGTAGTGGTTAACGCTACGCTGCGCTACAAACCCGGCGAACCGAGTTCCATTCCCGCTCACGGCCACCACCGGTGACGATTATTTGAACCTCCCCTAGGTCGACTCAGCCACAAACGAGTAACTGGTGTGGCGTATTAACATCGCCACTGGGGAGACAAAGGCGGCCGTGCGTGAGTGGTGAGGGAGGGAGAGTGGTGAGAGAGGGAGAGTGGTGAGGGAGGGAGAGTGGTGAGGGAGGGACTCAGCCGCAAAACGAGTAACTGCTGTAGCGTATTAACATCGCCACTGGGGAGACAAAGGCGGCCGGCCGTGGTGGATACAAGTCCCGGGCGAAGCCGGGTAGTACAGCTAGTACAAATATACAAACACAGACATAATTTCAACCGTGATGATGGTTACAAACTGAGTAATCATTGGAAAGATGTGATTAACCATGCAAAAAAGATTTAGCTACACTTATTTGGACCATCTTATTTGACAGACAACTATTACAGGTTATTGATAGACAGCCAGGCTTGTTTTACCATGTTTAGTTGTTTCTTTTTTCACACTATTGTTATGTAGGCCAGGCTTAGTCACAAACCGTACCTCTCCATAACAAAGGCTCAGCCTCTTAAGCCTCACCTTACCATATTAATAAAAAGTGTGCCGTACTTGGCCCTTCCCCCTTTCCAACCATTATATATATACGGAGTGGTAGCTCTTGTAATCTCTCATTTACTTGATACAGCTGTCGTGGCTCTGACGGTTCCACCTGAAGACAGAAGCTGTGTTGCCTCCGAAACGTCGTGATTTTTATTTTATTTTACTTTTATTAATTTTAATGTTTTACCTACGTGACTTTACCGAAAAAAACCTAAGAATATGAATCCTTGCAGTCACGAAAACTTCAAATCTAGAATTGAATATCATAACCAAATGACCTGAATTACCGCCTCATCTCATTAGAGATGGGGTGGTATAGATTGAGAACAAATTTATTTAGAACTGCTTATGTGTTTAGTTTGTTGTCATTCCCCCGCACTTCCGAATAGCACGCTTGGCTACATACGGTGCGAAATAAGTTCAACATACATTCGACATAAATTAGCACTGATATTAAATATTGTGCAAGTGCGTTCCTGTACCAAGTGAATCCAGCCACTTGTCAACTTGTGGGTAGTGCTCTCTGAGCTCCTGGAGTGTCTCCAACAGGCTATGACACTTCCTCTCTCCTCCATCGATGAAGTGATCGAGCAGGAATCCGGCTTGATCCGTTGTGACCATCCCAGCGGCTTTAGAGTGGACGTGCTCTGAGATGTGTCGCCTTGTCTTCAGCTTGTCCAGTAAAGTAAATGAGGAGCTCTCACTGCCAATCCACTTCTTAAGTTCAGGCTTTTTACCACGGATCATGTATAGCGCATTGCCGTCAACGACCACGATCCTCGCCTTCTCCACTGCAAGAAAGTTGTATTCGCAAACAATGCAGTACCGTACAATATGGGATTAACATAGCATCTCAATGCGAATTTGTCTCAGGAAGCCGTACAGAAAGAGTGGCCAGTAGACTTGCATGAAGAGAAGTGAGTCTGCCGCATCGAGAACCTGACTTAATTAAAAATGTAGGCTCTTTATTTTATATACTTCTGCTTACACAGACCTATCTAAACTAAAAACAATAAAACTAAATATATTACCAGGTAAAGCCCACTGCGCTATATCGCTCTTTTTTTCAGGAGTGACATGGCCACAAATTATAGTTCAATCAAGTGGATTATCATGTAGAGATTTATAACAGTAAAAGACTTTGAACGCATGTCGATTCTAAATATGGAGGAACAAACAGGAAGACCTGAATAAAATCCACGCGACCAGGGGGGAGAGAGAGAAATGCAAATACCAAATACACAGCAGGCGTCAGCGTCGGGATCAAACCCACGACCTCCTGTATACCAGGCGAGGTAGTTAACATATCCTACCCACCGTGGCGCCCCACGGTGTTGAGGGGTCTATTCTCTTAATAAGATGGTGTAACCTTACCTTGGTGCAAATTATTCTCTTCTCTGTAAAGATCTGCCTTCATTTCTATTGGGTAAGTAAAAGTATAATGTTAGATATTTTATGTTAACATCATAAATTGTACAAAGCAAATGTGTCAGAAACATGGACAACTGATACAAATAAAAAAGTACATGAAGAAGAATGGACAGGTAGAGGAACACGTGGATTAGGGAATATAACAGATTACGAATATGTATTTAGACTAAGGGAACAATCCAATGAGCTATGATGTTCTTTTTCACAGATGTACATTATGGGCAGATCTGGAAGTTACAACAGCAAGCAATACAAAACACGATAGGAGTGAAAAATAGAGGAAAAGGGAAGCAAGTCAATGAATATGAATTCATTCCAAATATATTAATTACTGTATATAAGTCGATTCATCAAACTTGGGCAAGTCATCAAAAACAACAGCAAAAACAGTCCCAGACCACACCAAGATACTACACAGCAGTAGTAGTCCCTCAATAAAATGGCACGTGGACAGTGAACTATCACTACGACACAGGTAAGGATCAAAGTTATAAGTCACATTTGCCAATGTGACTTTAATCCAGCACTAATCTTCTGTTTCACATTGACCGTTAAGAAAAAGTAAGTGGGCTTTAGAGGCCACATGGTCCCCGTTCTTGCAAAACCTGTCATGAATATCCAGAAAAACTCGACCCGGGGAGCAGGAATGGACTCTGGATACTACACCACAATCGATGGCAAGGTAACCACTGCTCATGGGAGAAAACAAGAATGATCTATGTTGAACTTCTATCGCACCATACATAGCGAACCACGCTAATCGGACGTGCGTAGGAAGGACATCAAACTAAGCAGTTCCAAAAAAAATAGTTATTAATATAAATAATGTAAAGTCCATTGCTCCAGTGGCTTCCTATTATAAGAAGGAAGAGCGTTCCCGACGGCCGCAGAAGCGCATTTGAAATTACGCGATGTGGTGACCATCTTTGTTCAATGTGAAGTACCGGTGAAGACGCTTGACGCCGAGGTTGAGGCACACGTATATTTATTTCACAATACGACAGTGGGCATATACACACTCGAGGGGGTATCGGCCCCCTCACCCGTATAACTCGGGATACACCCCTAGCTAACTCTGTCCTAGCCCCGAATCCTCCACTAATGGGCTAGGGGAGGCTAACTGGCCCGACACTGGTAAGTCGGGCCCGGTACCCGGAGTTCCAGACCAGCTCTTACAAGAGCACCGGCTCTGGCTTTCGGGACCACGCCGCTGGCTCAGTCCTGTCCGGCCCTGAAAAGGACATCGAACTAGGGGAGTCCAGGGCTCTATCTAAGACGTCTTCAGTCTTCTTCCCTTAGCTTAAACATAACTGACTCGAGCCCTTTGAACATCCCCTTTTATACCCAACCCCTCCCTGAGGGGTGGGGCCCCGGGGGATCATAACGTTCGAACCAGCCCCCCCCAGGGTGTCTGGCTCGGACGTCGTAGAGGGCACCTCCTCGTGCACTTACGTAGCCCCGCCCACTGTGTTTGTTTTCCATAGGCTGCCATGCATAACGGGCCCTCTCTTTAACACCCCTACATCACCCCCCCCCCCCCCCCCCCCCCGCATAGCTTTCAGCCGTCCCGGCTGCCATCATACAAAAATGACAATAAAAGTGCATTTACCCCTTGACCGCGCGTGTGCCTCACTATTTTTCAACAATAACAAGAACAGCAACAAGAACACAACAAAATGCAACAGCAAGAAGAGAAAACAACCCGACGCACCCCCCCTTGAATAAATACGAATTCCGTAAAAAAACAACCTATATACAATTTGCAGGGAACCCACCATACACACAACACCAGGTGAACCCAACGTATGTACATTTCAATGGGCAGGGAACACACCACCCACACAACACACAATGAACCCAACATATGTACATTCAATGGGCAGGGAACACACCACCCACACAACACACGATGAACACAACCTATGTACACATCTTCCGGCCTCATAACAGTCTGCGCATTTTTGCGCGCGTCCTTGCCGCGGGCCCCTCACACGGGGTAACCCCGGGTGGCGGACCGTCAGGTGGCAATTGTCCGTCCCGGAGTGAGTCCTCATCCGATGCCGCGCGACCGTCGGTATCCCCAGGAGGGGTGGTCGGGCGTGAGCCCGTCAGTCCTGATGCACCTGGAGGTGGCACGGCCGGCAAGGCATTAGGTGAGAACGACGGAGACGGACCCAATGAGTCGGTCGACCCCCCACACGTTTGGCCACGCATGTGTGAAGTGGGTTTGTGTACCGCAACGAAGGGTTTTAACCTAGAGGGGTGCACGAACCATCGCCGCTTCCCCCATTTAATGCGCACGCAGTGTGGTCGCAAAACTTCGACCACCTCCACAGGGCCCCGCCACGGCTGCACGAGCTTAGAGGAGGTAGCCAGTGGCACTTGGGGACAGTGCAGCCATGCCTTGTCCCCCGGCTTCCACTGTATCATGTGCGCCCGACCCAGCCTGAGGCGCTCATTCGCCTTTTGACGGAAGTCCGAGTTTAGCATTGCAGCATCCCGCGCCTCTGTTAATTTGGCCAGATTAAATTTGACGTGGTCAGCCAATTTAGTTTTCCCTTGCGGCTCGGGGATCTGCAGCTGGGCGCGAACAGGCGGGTCGGGTTCGCGACCGTACATGAGGTAAAAGGGGGAAAATCCCGTAGCTGCATGGGGTGCCATCCGGTATGCCGCCAAGACCCCTTGAATATGCAGGTCCCAGTCAGTCTGTGAGTCCGAGACCTGCTGTGACATCATTGACGTAATGGTGCGATGCAGGCGCTCGACCATCCCGTCAGTTTGCGGGTGATACGGGGAGGTACGAATTTTCTTCGTGCCTAGGAGGTCACAGACTTGTTTGAGTAATTTACCGGAAAAATTTCTGCCCTGGTCGGTCAGCAGCCGCTCCGGAGCACCTTTGTCCAGGACGTATCCCTGAACAAAGGCCTCCACGATGGCTGCTGCCGACTGGTTGGCAAGGGGCCAGGCCATAGGCCAGCGTGTAAAATACTCGACACCAGTCAACAAATACCTATTGCCCCTGGGGGTGGCGGGAAATGGGCCCAAAATGTCCAGCGCGACAAGCTCATTTATTCTGGACACTTTGATCAATTGCAAGGGCGGGTTAGACTCCCGCGCCGGCGGTTTCCGTTGCGCACACCGAGGGCATGATCCCAATAGATCCCCAACATCCCTCGTCATGCCAGGCCAAAAAAAATCAAGTTGTAGCAGTGCAAGAGTCTTTTGGGTCCCCAGGTGTAATAGGCGCTCATGCGCGGCCCACACCACCTTGCCTCGCAACCCAGAAGGGACCACCAGCCGATGTCGCTGGGATTTCCCGTCCCAATGCATCAGCAGACCTTGCACCATTTCCCATGCATCCGAATCACCCTTCACACGCTCAGCACCCCCGACGCGACGACGCCACCCGAGGAGGGAGGTATCCTCCATCTGGAGGCGCCCCCATTCAGTGACGGGCAACCCCAACAGGGAATCTCTTCCCTGTTGTTCGATCGAATTAGTAATTAATGTTTCGTCGTCGTCGGTGGCTGCCAAGACCGGAACCGATGCGTCCCCTGAAGGCCTGCAACGTCCCGACCCCAGGAGGCATGCACATTCCGAGGTGGTTGGCATGCGCGACAGAGCGTCCGCATTCGTATGGCGAACGCCCTTACGGTAGGTGGTTTCAAAATCAAAGTCCTGGAGAACCTCCAACCATCGAGACAACTGTCCCGATGGTTGTTGAACTCGCAGGGCATACAGTAGTGCCGCATGATCTGTGCGGACGGTGAAATGCCGACCGTACAGATATGGGCGATACTGTTGGATGAAATAGACAATTGCCAACAGTTCCCTACGGGTGACACAATATCTTTGCTCTGCAGGAGACAACACCCGACTACCGTACGCGACCACCCGTTCCACGCCATCAACCACCTGGGAAAGCACACCCCCAATACCCGTGTTGCTCGCATCGGTGTCGAGCAAAAAGGGCTTAGAAAAATCGGGGTAAACCAAGGGAGGGGCTTTTACCAGAGCGTCCCGAAGGGAGCAGAAAGCAGCCTCCTCCTCTTGACCCCAGTGGAACCGAACCCCTTTAGATGTTAAAGCGTGCAGGGGTTTGGCAATTGTCGCAAAATCAGCGACGAACCGTCGGTAATACGACGCGAACCCAATGAAACTCCTGACCTCTCCCACCGAGGTGGGAGTCGGCCAGGAGCTGACACACTGCGTTTTGGCGGGATCGGTAGCAATACCTGAGCGTCCCACGATGTGCCCCAAATAACGCACCGAATCGCGCAACAAATGGCATTTTTGGGGTTTGAATTTCAAATTAGCAGCCCGCATCTTTAGGAAAACCGCCCGCAACCTCTGGAGATGTTCGTCAAAAGTTTTATCAAAGACGATAACGTCATCCAAATAAATGAGGCACGACTCCCATTGCAATCCAGCCCAAACCAATTCCATCAAACGCTGGAAAGTTGCCGGCGCTGAGTGTAAGCCCATCGGCAACCGGTTGAATTGGAACAGGCCGTGCGGTGTACGGAAAGCAGTTTTAGGCTTTGAATCATCGTCCAGAGGAAGCTGCCAGAATCCCGAAAGTAAATCGAGTGTGGAAAAGAATCACGCTCCCGCCAAGGCGTCCAGCGATTCATCCATCCGAGGGAGCGGGTATGCGTCGGCAACTGAAATTTTGTTAAGGCGCCGAAAATCAACGCAAAACCGCAACGATCCGTCCTGCTTTTTAACCAGGACGATCGGCGCTCCCCAAGGGCTGGTGGAAGGAGAAATGATGTCGGCGGCCAACATGTCATCAATAGCCGATTTGACATGGTCCTTTTCGGCGGGACTCAACCGAAACGGATTTTGGCGAATTGGCGCGCTGTCACCCATGTCAATATGGTGACGCAGCAGGTGAGTACAACCCAAATCGTATTTATTCCGACTAAAAACGTCGGAAAATTCCCGCAGTAGTGTTTTAAGTTGTTGACGCTCTGAATCTGACAGGTCCGTCGATCCCACACAAAGCGCCTCGAGCCACCCTTCATCGCTGTCCGAATGCGGTCGCGGCGCAGGGACAACGCTGACGTGATTTGCGACGGTTTCCTCACATGGCACCGGCGTTGCGTGAGCAAGCACGGTTCCCTGTGGGACCACCACCGTCTGCGAGCCCACATTGAGGACCGCGATGAAGGGAACCGCCAGCGAGGAGGAAACAAAAATCGGCCCAGACAATTTAATTTCCCCAACACAAATTTGGGCCCGAATTTGTCCGATGATGCCAAGTGAGCCCCCGTTAGCCGCATAGAATGGTACGTTAACAGGCATCAAAGGACGGCTCTGGACAGGGAGAATATTGTATATTAACTCCGAAATAATGGTCGCCGATGCTCCCGTATCGACCAGGATGCGCACTTCAACCCCGTCGATGTGCCCCACAACGGCCGACGACCCCGACGATGCGGCTACCACACGATCGGCCAGCACGGACCACTGGCCGGGTTCGATATGAGTACCCAGAGTGGTGCGTGATGGTGCGATGGTGCGCGATATCGGCCCCCCTCTCGTTGCGGTGTTTGAGTGCGTGACGGGCGTGTGCGTGGGCCAAACATGTGGGGTGCCGCGACTCGCCGGGTTATGATGGTGGAGCTTGTGATGAGGCCCGTCGTCCCGTTGAGGTGTCGTCCCGCGCTGACGAGGAGAGCGGCACCCCGAGGCGACGTGGCCCCGGACGCCGCAGTTAAAACACCGCGGGAGCGGCGTCGGAGGTGACGGATGGTCGGAACGGCCCGACCCGTCCTGGCCCGACCGTGCTCCCGTCGCCTGTTGCTGTCGGTGGTCGACGGCGTAGAGCTCCTCCGTCGGAAGGGTGGCTGCAGCCACCACACGCCCCGCCGATGCCCTGCTGGCTTTCCGCCGGAGCGACAGGAGGTTTGCGTGGAGGAGCCGCGCCGCCTGGAGCGATGTCATTTCCGCGTCCTCCTGCGCGATGACAGCGATGTCAAGGTCGTCTGCCAGGAGGAGGATTTTCTCCGTGACCATAGCATCCACGCCGTCGTCGTCCATACGAGGGAAGGCCGACTTAGCCATCGCCAGGAGGCTCGTCCGGTATGCTAGGGGCGACTCCTTCTCACCCCGCTTGCGGTCGTAAAATTGCTGTCGGCATTCGGCTGATGGTCCATAGACCCCGCCCAGCAGCTGTAGCGCCATCGGTAATGTAGACCGCTTCTCTCTCGGCGCCGATGTGAGTGCGGCGAGCGCGTCGCCGTCGAGGAGCGCCGGCAGCGCGCAGAGAGCCTCCTCATCGGACCATTTCGCCATCTCCTGATGGGCGAGGAAACGTCGGCGAAACCCGGCCCAGTCTCCCTCCGCGCCGATGAACTCCTTCAGCGGGGGCAGTCTCTGATGAAGCGCAGTGGTTGTTGTAGACTCCCGCAGGCAGATGTCACCACCACTCGGCTGTGCGTCGGTGCGAACGGCCGATGGGATCGCCTGTCGCGGTTGTGATGACGCACCCTCCGGCGGTGATGACGCTGCAGCTCCAGCGACGGCGATGTCGGAGCGGATGTTCAGGCTGGCCACGCCCTGAACAGCTGTAGCGTCGATGGCGGGAATTTCAAATTCGGACTGCTCCGAAATGGCGGGAAGGCGCCCTGGTCGTTGGCTCGCCTCGCCCCGTGTTGGATCACCGGCCCCCAATCGCGTGATGGTCTCCAGCGTGGCGGCAGCGGCATACAGCAGCTCCGCCAGCCTCCCGTGAGCCAGCCGTAACGCGTCTGACTGCGGCCCCTCTTCATTTCGATGCCCCGGTAAGGAGGCGTCAGGCCCCGGCTGCACCATGTCTTGTGGAGCCGTCTCGGGCTCGACGATCTCGGCAGTGTCTTCCTCCTGCGGTACTTTTGCCCGTGCTGTTTTCCGCGTGTCCATGTTCGAATTACTTCTGACACCAGTTGAAGTACCGGTGAAGACGCTTGACGCCGAGGTTGAGGCACACGTATATTTATTTCACAATACGACAGTGGGCATATACACACTCGAGGGGGTATCGGCCCCCTCACCCGTATAACTCGGGATACACCCCTAGCTAACTCTGTCCTAGCCCCGAATCCTCCACTAATGGGCTAGGGGAGGCTAACTGGCCCGACACTGGTAAGTCGGGCCCGGTACCCGGAGTTCCAGACCAGCTCTTACAAGAGCACCGGCTCTGGCTTTCGGGACCACGCCGCTGGCTCAGTCCTGTCCGGCCCTGAAAAGGACATCGAACTAGGGGAGTCCAGGGCTCTATCTAAGACGTCTTCAGTCTTCTTCCCTTAGCTTAAACATAACTGACTCGAGCCCTTTGAACATCCCCTTTTATACCCAACCCCTCCCTGAGGGGTGGGGCCCCGGGGGATCATAACGTTCGAACCAGCCCCCCCAGGGTGTCTGGCTCGGACGTCGTAGAGGGCACCTCCTCGTGCACTTACGTAGCCCTGCCCACTGTGTTTGTTTTCCATAGGCTGCCATGCATAACGGGCCCTCTCTTTAACACCCCTACAAATGGACAGACAAAAGCTGCTGCTGCGACCTAGCTTCATTGCCGCTTCAACAACAGTTTATGTGTATTCTTTGGTTCTTTTGGTAAAGTCACGTAGATAGAAAAAAAATCATACAAATAAAGTGAATATAAAAATACCACGACGTTTCGATCGCAACACAAGCGGTCATCATCAGGAAAAGGGGTTAGCCTCTAAAGGCGAACTGTTTATAAAGGTTTGGAGATGGGCGTAGCCCAAGTGTATCAGCAATACCAGCAGCATGTGCGGGGCAGCAATGCCAATGCAGCAACAATGCCAATGCAGCAACAATGTCAATGCAGCAGCAATGCCAATGCAGCAGCAAATGCCAATGCAGCAGCAATGCCAATGCAGCAGCAATGCCAATGCAGCAGCAATGCCAATGCAGCAGCAATGCCAATGCAGCAGCAATGCCAATGCAGCAGCAATGCCAATGCAGAAAAGGGCCGCCAGGAAATCATTGCACCCGACTCCACACACCACACTGTTGACAGTGGAGGTTGATTGACAAGAAAACAAGTCAAGTCTTGACCCAAAGTGGTTGATGCCATCTTTCCAATGATTGCTGAGTCTATAACCATCCTCTCGTTTGAAATTGTCTGTGTCTGTATACATGGATGGCTTCATGAACGAATCTTTGTTGATAGCCAGTCGGATTGCAAAGTACCATTGTTTTAGAGAAATCAATTTCGTGTGAGCCAGCAGCATTAAAATAATGATCAGCCTTGGCAGAAGTATTGCTCCTAACGTGATGCTGCCCATACATGCTGCTAGTGCTTCTGATACACTTGGGCTACACCCATCTCCAAACCTTTATACTCTGTTTGCCTTTAGAGGCTAACCCCTTTTCCTGATGACGACCGTTTGTGTTGCGATCGAAACGTCGTGGTATTTTTTATTCACTTGATTTTTGTTATTTTTTCTATCTACATGACTTTATCGAAAGAACCAAAGAATATGAATTCCTGCAATAACGGACGTTTTAAGTCAAATCTATCCGTTTACGTGGTAGAATGCATTGAAAATCTGCTCATTATCTTAGCAAAGTGCAGTTTACCTTTCAATATATATATATTTTTTAAATTTAGCTCCAATATACGTTACAGGTCTGAACATTTGACTCTTAAACCTTTCCCGTTCCGAGATGACTGCAAGTCTCAGGGTGAGTGTCACGTTCACCGCCAAATCTCAGAATACGCAAGCGATTCAGCATTAATTTTATTTAGAGAGGCATAGCAGTACCATTGTTTTAAATACTTCATTACTCACTGCAGAGAACAGTAGCGACAAGAACACACTCTATGATAACTGGCGCAAAACTGTGCCACACATCGTCTCATATGGTCTTGTGGGAGCCTCGGTACCAATCACGTTATTTTATTCTGATAACGAACACGGACGTCATCGGATTGGGAAAGGGTTTAAATCAAGGGAGGAGCACACGTTGTGTAAATGAGGATGGCGTGATCAATCTTGGGGATCGCAAAACTGGATCAGGTCAGAAATAAAACGTACTTTGAATCAAAATATAGATAGAAAATCCTGGAGACAAATTAACCGACCATGGGAAAAACATACACACTCCAAAAATACAAAAGGCGTCATGGTCGGGATTGAACCCACGACTTTTTGTATACCAGGCGAGGTGGGTAACATCTCGCCACCGTGGCGGTCTCGTACACACTTATGTACTTACCGAGGATGCTCATCCATTTGTTAACTTTTGGATACTTGAGTATGGTTTTAAGCACATCGAGGAATTCCCGACACCTCTCCTCCCCACAGCTAACAATGTGGTCGAGTAGGAACCCGGTGGCTTCTAAAGAATTGTGCTGATTTTTGGCCTCGTCGGAGACTTCCTTCCGAATGATCAATTTTCTCTCCAGCTCCTCTAGGAGGGAGTCTGGGTCGTCGCTGATCCACAGCTTCAGATTAAGTTTATTTCTGCGGACGAGACGCATATTTCTTCCTTCAACGACCACAATGGATTTACGTTCTGTCAGGACACACACAAATAAAACATGTAAGATTAGAATTTTTTCATGTTAGACAATATAGATTTACGTCCTATATGTGTGCACACCCCTTACGGACGACCTTTGTCCGCGAAGGGGCTAAACCACCGAAGAGCGGCTCTACACCAATAGAGCGAGACCAGCTGCGCTTGGCCCGCGACTGGAAAATGCTAGCTGACATTGGCCGGCAACTTGTGTTTCCTCCGGAGATCGCAACCACCACCCTAAGACCTGACATGGTGCTCTGGTCCCGTTCGCTCAAGAAGGTCTTCATCATTGAGCTCACAGTACCCTGGGAGGACTCAGTAGATGAGGCTTATGAGCGAAAATATCTGCGCTATGCCGATCTAGCTGCCGAAGCACGGCATCATGGCTGGAACACAGAAGTCCGACCAGTGGAAGTGGGCTGCAGAGGTTTTGTGGCAACATCTACAACCAGACTGCTTAGAGACCTGGGAATTAAGGGCCAGAGCCAGCGTTCGGCAATCAGAGCTGTATCGGAGGCGGCAGAAGGCAGCAGTCAGTGGCTCTGGATGAAGATGAAAGACCCCAGCTGGGCCCCAAAGTGAGAGGGCCAGGAGGTATGCAGTTAACAATGCTTGACTCAGGGAGGAGGACGCCCCTGCCATGCATAGTCCCATGGGATGTTGGCTATCAACAACAAGGCAACTCCTATGCCTAATTGGGAATGGGACGCAAGCGTAGGATTGATCACCCTGTCACTGGCCGCCTTTGGGGAGGGTGTATAGTATGAAAGGCCGAAACACCCTAGGAACCAAAGGTTCACTACTGACGATGCGCTCCACAAATTTCACCAGGCTCACTGTTCATGAACTCTTGGAAGTGCTTGCACAAAGCATAGTAACATCTCATCCTGTGTTCTTTGGAATCTGAATATCTGGACTTGTCCAGTGACTGCTGAGAAAGATCAGCTGACATCAGGGGAAAGTCCTTGTGGCGGCACGGAGAGACGACTGACAGGAGGGAATAGACCCCACTGGGACAGTCATGGGTTAGCTTCCTATTTCTGTAGTTTCCCATGCTTCGCAGTATGTTGGAAACACCCGCTTTAGCTACAGAAAGTCAACATACGAGAATACCCCTAGAGTCTGCGAGAGCGGGGGCGGAAGATGACTCATCGACTGACAACATGGTAACGACTGGACCGGAAACGACTACGAGTAATGAGAGCACAGCACAAGAGAACACCACAGCAACTGTCACAAGTTCCGCTGCAACAGCAGGCCACAAACAGATGCAGGTATGTGTCTGTGGTTGGAGGAAAGTTACATCACACCATGGGTTGAGGATCCACCAGGGGAAGAAGGGGTGTTTGGGTAAAGAGAGACAGAGGCCTCGCATTGATTACTTTCTGCGAAAGCCATCAAATCAGTCGAATGAAGCACAGCAACTTGACACAAACCATAGTTTGCAGTGCATCAGTACCACTGTCATGGAGGACGTAAACTCAAGCACCGAAGTAACAACTGAGGTTGAATCAACAACAGGAGTGGAACTCACCCAGCCTCCCAGACCTGCAGTCGAGAGGAGACTACCAGGGCACAGACCGTATGTGAAGTGGCCTGGCGCCAGTGACAAGAAGTTGTGGGAAACAGTGAATACTGACCTTACCTTGACCCTCGAGAAACTTCGAGGCACAGTGGAGAAGAAGTTGGAGAGGATGGGAGACATCATCTATGAGTACGGGGCAGAACGCTTTGGAGTGCAAGAGACAAAAGGCGGGAAAAAGGTTCCAACCCCACCAGTTTCCAGGAGGCAACAAGAAATCAAGCGCCTCGTTCAAGAAAGGAGACAGCTTAAGAAACAGTGGAAGAAAGCCTCGGAAGTGGAAAAGGAGGGCATAGAGGCACTTCAGGCTGACATCAAAACCCGGTTGGCATTCCTCCGTAGAGCAGAGAACCTACGGAAACGCAGAAGGAAGAAAGAACAAACTAGAACTCGATTCTATAAAGATCCCTTCGAGTTCCTTAAAAGTCTCTTCACGAAGGAAAAAAGTGGAGTTCTAAAAACAACAAAGAAAGACCTAGAAGAGCACCTGAAAACAACAAACTTTGATTCAAAGCGACATGAACATCTGGCCATCCCATCAGATATCCCACCCATTGAACCCCCGGAACATCATATTGAGACCAGCCCTCCGACATGGAAAGAGGTGGAAAACACAGTTCGAGGGGCAAGAACAGCATCAGCCCCGGGGCCAAATGGAGTCCCGTACAAAATGTATAAGAACGCACCAGACGTCCTGAGGTTCCTCTGGAGGCTTATGAGAACAGCTTGGCAAAAAAAGATAATACCCAAAGTGTGGCATAGGGCAGGCGGGGTTCTGATCCCCAAGGAGAAGGATGCAGTGAACATCAGCCAATTCCGCCCAATCTCCTTACTGAATGTCGAGGGTAAAATCTTCTTGAGGGTCATTGCCCAGAGGATGGCCGAGTACCTGCAAAGGAATGCGTACGTCGATACATCTGTACAGAAGGCAGGAATATCAGGGTTCTCTGGCTGCTTGGAACATTCCAGCATGATCTGGCACCAGATCCAAATGGCCAAGGTGGAGAAAAGGGACCTCCATGTAGTCTTCCTCGACCTCGCCAATGCATTTGGCTCTGTGCCCCATGAACTCCTGTGGTCTGCCTTCAGATTTTTCCACATACCGGACACCATCACAACCCTGGTGAAGTCGTACTTTCAGGATCTGCAGTTCTGCTTCACCACCTCAGAGTTCACCACCTCATGGCAATGCCTGAATGTAGGTATAATGGCGGGATGTACCATTTCTCCATTGGCATTCATAATGGCAATGGAGGTTATCATCAGATCCTCAAAATGGGTTGCTGGTGGACAGCGAGTCGACTCTGGTTTTCGCCTCCCTCCACTCAGAGCCTACATGGACGACATTACAACATTGACCACCACTGTCCCATGCACCAGGAGACTGCTCAGAAAACTCGAAGAGAACATCAGCTGGGCCCGTATGAAGATTAAATCATCCAAGTCACGCAGCATCTCGATTGTGAAGGGAGTACTCTGTGACCTGAAATTCTTCATCGGAGATGACCAAATCCCAACAGTGTCTGAGCAGCCGGTAAAAAGCCTTGGAAGGTGGTATGATGCAAGCCTGAAGGACAAAGACCAGGTGCAACAGCTGCGCAAAGACATTAGTAGTGGCCTACAGTCCATCGACAACACCCAGCTACCTGGAAAGTTAAAGGCCTGGTGTCTGCAGTTTGGTCTCCATCCCGGGTGTTGTGGCCCCTAGCAGTGTATGAGGTTCCAATCTCAACAGTGGAGAAGATGGAAAGAGGAGTCACGAGCTACTTAAAGAAGTGGCTCGGAGTTCCACGATGCCTTACCACCATAGGCCTCTATGGAGATGGTATCCTCAAGCTGCCCCTCACCAGTCTAACCGAGGAATTCAAGTGTGCAAAAACCAGGCTCCAGATGACACTGAATGAATCTCGAGACCCAGTGGTGAGCAACAACGCGCCGACCTTGGCAACTGGGCGCAAATGGAGGCCAGGAAAAGCAGTCCAGGAGGCAACAGCAGCCCTCAGACATGCTGACATTGTGGGTCATGTTCAGCAAGGGAGAGGAGGCCTTGGGCTAACTAGCCGTGCTGCTTGGAGTAAGGCCACTGCACCAGAGCGGCGGAAGATGGTAGTGCAGCAAGTACGCCATCAGGAGGAGGCTGCAAGGTGGGCCAAGGCAGTCTCTCTTGCCAACCAGGGACAGTGGACTCGATGGGACAGTGTGGAGAAGAGGAAGATCAGCTGGAAGGATCTGTGGGCCATGGAAGCGAGGCGGTTGAGCTTTTCCATCAGAGCAACATATGACGTCCTTCCAACACCAGTTAATCTTCACCAATGGTATGGTGAAGATCCAGACTGTGCCCTCTGTTCCATGCCAGCCAACCTCAGGCACATTCTCACAGGGTGTAAAACAAGCCTCACCCAAGGACGCTACACTTGGCATCACAACCAAGTCCTTAAAAACCTTGCGTCCGCCCTGGAGGACAAGCGAGCTGCCACCAACTCCCTACCACCCCCAGCAGCATCACACCCCTTACGGACGACCTTTGTCCGCGAAGGGGCTAAACCACCGAAGAGCGGCTCTACACCAATAGAGCGAGACCAGCTGCGCTTGGCCCGCGACTGGAAAATGCTAGCTGACATTGGCCGGCAACTTGTGTTTCCTCCGGAGATCGCAACCACCACCCTAAGACCTGACATGGTGCTCTGGTCCCGTTCGCTCAAGAAGGTCTTCATCATTGAGCTCACAGTACCCTGGGAGGACTCAGTAGATGAGGCTTATGAGCGAAAACATCTGCGCTATGCCGATCCAGCTGCCGAAGCACGGCATCATGGCTGGAACACAGAAGTCCGACCAGTGGAGGTGGGCTGCAGAGGTTTTGTGGCAACATCTACAACCAGACTGCTTAGAGACCTGGGAATTAAGGGCCAGAGCCAGCGTTCGGCAATCAGAGCTGTATCGGAGGCGGCAGAAGGCAGCAGTCAGTGGCTCTGGATGAAGAGGAAAGACCCCAGCTGGGCCCCAAAGTGAGAGGGCCAGGAGGTATGCAGTCAACAATGCTTGACTCAGGGAGGAGGACGCCCCTGCCATAAATAGTCCCATGGGATGTTGGCTATCAACAACAAGGCAACTCCTATGCCTAATTGGGAATGGGACGCAAGCGTAGGATTGATCACCCTGTCGCTGGCCGCCTTTGGGGAGGGTGTATTGTATGAAAGGCCGAAACACCCTAGGAACCAAAGGTTCACTACTGACGATGCGCTCCCCAAATTTCACCAGGCTCACTGTTCATGAACTCTTGGAAGTGCTTGCACAAAGGATAGTAACATCTCATCCTGTGTTCTTTGGAATCTGTGTGCAAACTTGGAGAAGGCTTTGATAACTCCTTGGACATATTGTTTTTCGTGATTTGCTTAACTTTCCTATACTTTGCACGCCTTCCATTCCTTTGTATTGTTTGTTATTGTAACTTTCTGACCCCGTGCTCCTGCTGGACATCTGGAAAAAGAGCTTAATAGCTCTTCAGATTCCTCCAGCATAAATATTCGGATTCTAAAGTAGTCCATGAAAAACCCACCGCAACCATGTATGTATGTTTAAAATGTATCGCACCGTATGTATCATCCATGCTAATCGAAGGTACGGGGGAAAGAAAACAAACTACACACAAAGTGCATTTATAAAGAAATTATTTTCTATTTAGAATAGTAGCATATTGTAGTGTATAGTGTAGTGTGTAGTGCAGTGTATAGTGTAGTGTATAGCAATGCATAGTATATATGTTGAACTTCTTTCACACCGTACGTAGTAAACAACCGTGCTTATCGGGGGTGAGGGCGGAAGGGCAATTGTATGTCATGATCCACAATGCAGCTACATACCGAGGGAGTCCAGCCAGTCCGCAAGGTTCGGATACTTGTCTTCAGTTGCGTGGAGGGCATCTAAGAGGTTCTGGCAGGCCGTCTCACCGTCGTTCAGAAATTTCTGGATCAGATTTGCCGCACGGTCAGAGCCGTTGCGAGTGCACTGGACCTCTCGGTAGACGCTGTGAGAGATGGTCCCCTGGCTGTCCAGTTCATCGAGGAGGTGTTGAGGGTTTTTGCCAATGCAGCTCTGCAGCATTTTTCTGTTCTTGTAAATCAGTTTCTGTCTAGACGTCCAGTGTCCAACCTGTGATCATGCGAAAAGAACCAATTATACTTGTGTATGATAAAAAATAGACGTATTTGTTTTTAACTTATTTCGCACCATACGTAGCCAACCTGAATTTAAATGTAGTATTGCCACAGGTATAGTGGAGTGTTAATGCCTTTTTTGCCAATTTAGAGGTGCTGCATTTATATTATGCCTATGGTCAGAGCAATGGTCCAGATACATTCTTAGATCTTTTCATAATGTACTCTCCAAATTTGTCACTTTTCAATGAACAATACAGTTCCAGGGCGTGAAATTAAACATTACTTTAAAGTTAGCGGTGATTTTGATACACACTCCACTATCTTTAACACTGACGTAGGGTGTATGCATTTACAGGAGCTTTTCATTTTTTATTGTAATGTTACTTCGAACTACTGTATAGTCATAAACACAATGAATCAGACTGATTTACGATAGAATTTGTCGTGCATCTTTGGAAAATATTTCAGTTAGACGTTCAGTTCTTTTTCCAGATTCATAATTTGTTTAATTTTAAACGGTTTAGGTATAAAAACAGGTTTAAAAAAGAAAGTATACTCACATTGGAAAGTATATCAATCAGAGAGACTCCTGTATAACCCCTTCCATTTGAAACTTCCCACGGTTGGGTATCCATACAAATGAGAGATACAAAGTTGGTGAGCAGTGCGGTAGTGAAAGGTAAAATTAAAAACAAAATTGCGTGAAAAAAATTATGAGCTTTCATGTACTGCTTTATTGGCAATCCACCGCTGGATCAAGGCTACCCACACTGTATGGATCATGGGAGGCGGATTAATTGAATATACTTCACCACGCTGGTCGGCGGTGGGGGTTTTGTAAAGGCAGGAAGCATCGACATGGAGGCGTAGAAGTCCAGAACCGTAATGAGCCGGCCTTAGTTTCAGAACCATAATGAGCCGGCCTCATGAACTAAAAACTACTTGTTATTTTACATGTGTAAGGCCCACTGAGCTACATAGCTCTTTTTCCAAAGTAACCTCGGCATCGAAAATAATAGCTCAACAAAGTGGCTTATCATCATCACGTGGAAATATATAGCAGCCAAAGACTCGAAACGCGTGATGTTGATTCTAAATGTGGAGGAAAAAACTGGAGGACCCAGAGAAAAATCCATGTGACCACAGGGAGAACATGCAAACTCCAAATATACAACAGGCGTCAGGGTCGGGATCGAGCCCTCGCCCTCCTGCATACCAGGCAAAGTAGTGTGTGATGAGTGGGACCTTATAATGTATTCGTATGGCAACCGGAAGCCAATGCAGCTCAGTGAGCACTGGACGTATCTAAAGAACGATATAAATGGACATGTTTTTATTTTATCAGGTAAGGCCAACTGAGCTATGTAGCTCTTTTCAGGAGCGACCCGGCCACAAATGATATCAGCTCAACAAAGTGGCTTATCATCACGTGGAGATTTATAGGAGCAGCCAAATACTCTGTACGCCTGACGTTAATTCTAAATGAGGGAAAACTTGAGGACGAGGATACATTTTAAGATAAACTTTACTCAAATCATAAAGTTCTTAACCTCATATATAAATTGGTCAATCCCCATTTCACTGGTATTTGTGAGCTCGTAAATCCTGCGAATGCACTATTATGTGTTGTATGTGTGTGTATAACTTCTTTCACACCATATGTAGCCAACAGTGCTAATTGTAGGTGCATGGGGAGGACAACAAACTAGTAAACCGCCAATCTTATGAGTTTGAAACTTCTATGGCTGCTATCTTCATTAACGGATAATGAGAACTCCTGTGACGATGTACCAGAAATACACGTGACATTTTGCACGAGGCAGTATAGGATGCAATATAGTATGGTATGAGAAATTATCAATGTTTTCCCGTATTATTTTTTTGCGCACATAGAACTAAGACTTGTTTAGGACAAAATCCTGAGTAGTTTCCCAAATGGGTGGGGTTATTGGGGTGTGGCAAAGGCACAGCACAGAGACCATCTCTTGGAAGAGTAGAGAGCCCACGCCTGGAACCTGCTCCATAAACCTCAGACAACACCACTCGGGTTTGTCTGGACTCAAAACCCAAGCGGGACTCTGTGCAGTTGCATGGAGTTGAACTTCAAGAATCACTACTGGGAGCTCTACTGGATGAGAACCCAGCTTCTTGGACGTGTCTGCTACTCTTGAGAGGGCATCTTATTATTATGATTATGTGTGTAGCGCCTCTGCAAGTGCTTCAAGCACCCTCTGATCTGCAGCGTGTTGCCTCCTGAAAAGCCCAGACGACCACCCCTCTTTGCCAAACTCAGTTTTCTGCTCAAGATGATTGTGAGTGAGAGTGTCGCGTGTCTCCGTACTTTTTATTCCACAACCCTTAATCACTCTTCCCCTTGCTGTGAACTACCTCGTCTGGCATACAGGAGGTCGTGGGTTCGATCCCGACCCTGACACCTGTTGTATATTTGGAGTTTGCATGTCTCTCTCCCCGTGGTCGTGTGGATTTTTCTCCAGGTCCTCAGGTTTTTAGAATCAATGTGCGTTTAGAGTATTTGACCACAATACGTTTCCACGTGATAAGCCACTTCATTAAGCTACAATTTATGACAGCCAGTTTGCTTCTGAAAAATAGCTGTAGAGCGCAGTGGGTCTTAGCTGGTAAAATAAAAAAAGCTTAGTTTAATTTATTTTAATGCGTGGACCTTAATAACCTTTCATGACACACAGTGTCCTAAATGTTGTTTTGTTTCAAACTGATTTATAATTAAGCCGTGGTATAATCAGCATTATTGGTGTGGTGGTTAATACCTTTGCCTCTCAATTTTCGATAAAAATAACACAATAAGAGAATTAAAGAAATAATGATCAAAATCAATGTAATAATTAGACCAACGACCATCCAACCTGGAAGAAGAAAACAACAAATGTTAGTTTTCATGATTTAACACTTAACAACATATCTATTACAATATCGATTACTCATCAATGAGCTTAAACCATCACACAAACTATGGTCATCCTCGCAGCATCTGCGGATTTTGGCTGACCATCGAACAAAGACGGAGACTGCATTGCGTGATTTCAGATGCGCTTCTGCTGCCGCCTGGAACGCACTTCCTTCCGATATTAGGAAGCCACTGGGAGCACTGTTAAATTATTCAATCTAAATTGAAAACCAATTTCTTTGGAACTGCCTTTTGTGCTTAGTTTGTGTCCTTCCCCCTGCACCAAATGTATTTAAAAGCCCAATTCGACCCTCAATAAAGAAATGGTTGTCCACTCTGGCTTTACAGGATCGTTTAAAAAGGACTGTGGAAAAGTGATGATAACGGGTGGTTATTTACAGGGGTGAAAATTGTATGAAATCACTCAGGGAACTCACGTGTGCAGAACATAGCGAGGCGAAAACATGTAATATACCTTGAGTGGAGTGACTCCCACTTTTATTTGATAATGTTGTATTATGTTGAACTTCTTTGGCACTGTACGTAGCCAACTGTGATAATTATTGGAGGTGCGAGGGAAGAACAATAAAACTAAACACTCGATTGAAAAAAGCATAGCTCCGGTGGCTTCCTAACATCGAAAGGAAGAAGGTTCCAGACGGCCGCAGAAGCGTATCTAAAAGAGCGCAATGCGGTAACCGTCTTTGCTCAGTCATTAGCCAAAAGCCGCTGCGAGCATGACCGGAGTTCGAGTAATCATGGTTTATGCTCCTTGACGAGATCAGCAAGGTATTGTATTGCAGCAAGCACTTAGTGTGTTATTAGTTCCACCCCATAATGTATTTATTCGACAGGCAGAAGCCAATGCAGCTCTGCGATCACTGGTCGGATTTTAAAGGCATATAAAAGAAAAAGCCATAGTTTAGAGGTGGTTCCATAGTTATGGCCTTTTTATAATGAATAATTAACAAAAAAGAAGTAGATATTGAGTATATTTAGTATAATATATACGCAATGTATATTATGTAATATATTTATATATACATACTATATTGTATAATATATTATATATACCCAATATACTCAATATTCTGTGTTAATTATTAATTATGAAAAGGCCATAATAAAGGAACATATGTTGAACTGAGCTGAAGAATCTCAGCGAATACACAAAGCAAATTCTTCATCGCGGATAGCATTACCTGGTCCTGGCATTGTCTTTTCACACTTCTCTGAGTATGTAGATCTGTAATAGCCTTCCTTACATTGGCAAACAGTGTTACGTGTGCTTTTACAAGGAAGCACCTCCTCTTCACCTGTTGCAGATTACAAAAAAATAGTAAAAATCACCACTTATTTTCCCCTGCTTCTCCAAATATAAACGTCCGATTAGCACGTGTGGCTATTTATGGTGCACAGGAAGTTCTGATACCACCTTGCCCCAGCCTACATCATTGACATGCTTCACCCATATGTCCCCTCAAGGTCCCTTAGATCTGGGGATGCAGACCTAGTTAATTTAGTAAATTATTTTGAAAATATATTCATGACATTATTTTTAAGTGTCTGCTCCTGCTGTCCTGTACAGCGCTTTGAGATCCGAGATGAAAAGCATTCAATAAATGTACGTATTATTCTTATCTTCCCATAGGCATCCGTGCTGTTGAATAGATCGTTTAAACCCGCAAGAATGACTCTTGGAGTGTGAGAGAGCTGTGAGATCACCATAACATTGACTCATTACTCAACTAAAACCAAAATAAATTATAATTTGTATTTCATCAAATAAGGCCCACTGAGCTATGTAACTCTTTTTCAAAAGCGACCTGGCCACAAATGATAGTTCAACGAAGTGGATTATTACGTGGACATTTTTAAGGCTGCCGCGGTGGCGAGATATTATCTACCTCGAACCCATGACATCCTGCCACTCTCCCCTTGGTCGCGTGGATTTTTCTCCGGGTTCTATACATTTTGAATCAATATCACGCGTTTAAATAATTTGTCTGCTATAAATTTCCACGTGATAAGCCACTTCATTGAGATATCATTTGTGGCCAGGTCACTTGTAAAAAATATCTGTATATCTCAGAGACCTTATCTGGTAAAATATAAATTGTTTAGTTTGATAGTTTAGTTTATAGCAGCCAAATACTCTAAAACCAAATATGGAGGGGAAAACTGAAGGACCAAGAAAACGATCCACGTGACCACCACGGGAAGAACATGCAAAGTCCACATATACAGGAGGCATCGTCACGGTCGGGATCGAATCCACGACTTTCTATATACCAGGTAAAATCCATAATAGAGGTTTTTGGGTTAGATTGCTTAAATATATAAAAGTGTCACTATGAGACCTCCTTTACCAGTGGCAAAATATAGTAGTAGGTTTTTACCCTTTAAACTGGTACAAAACTGACACCTTTGTACAAGGCATCATGTTTGCAATAACCACAACACAAGTAGTCAAAATGCAAACAAAAATAAACAACTCTGATAATGATAATCATATGCACTGTCCTTAAAGTTGATTGGTCCACACCCGAGACAGCTTTCCTTAGAGCCTAGTCTCCATTGGTGTTGGACCAGATGACACCAAAAGGCGTACAACTCAAAAACAGCGCACTATCAGAGTCTTTAGAGCTCGGATTAAGCATTTACACTATGAGACCTCCTTTACCAGTGGCAAAATATAGTAGTAGGTTTTTACCCTTTAAACTGGTACAAAGCTGACACCTTTGTACAAGGCATCATGTTTGCAATAACCACAACACAAGTAGTCAAAATGCAAACAAAAAGAAACAACTCTGATAATGATAATGATATGCACTGTCCTTGAAGTGGTGTATCGGCCACCACTTGCTTCTTTTTGTTTGCATTTTGACTACTTGTGTTGTGGTTATTGCAAACATGATGCCTTGCACAAAGGTGTCAGTTTTGTACCAGTTTAAAGGGTAAAAACCTACTACTATATTTTTCCACTGGTAAAGGAGATCTCATAGTGTAAATGCTTACCCCGAGCTCTCACGACTCTGATAGTGCGCTGTTTTTGAGTTGTACGCCTTTTGGTGTAATCTGGTCCAACACCAATGGAGACTAGGCTCTAAGGAAAGCTGTCTCGGGTGTGGACCAATCAACTTCAAGGACGGTGCATATCATTACCATTATCAGATTTGTTTCTTTTTGTTTGCATTTTGACTACTTGCGTTGTGGTTATTGCAAACATGATGCCTTGTACAAAGGTGTCAGTTTTGTACCAGTTTAAAGGGTAAAAACCTACTACTATATAAAAGTGTCGTTAAAACCCGCCACCACCCGACACAGCCAACTAGTAAGGATTGTCACGAAAACAGAACATGCCAATTCGTCACCAGTACAGCACACCGGTGAGTTGGAGAGCCAAGCCACAACATTCACAATCTGAGTACGACGTTTCGCCAGTAATTACCACTAGCTTCATCAGGCGACAGCCACCGTGGCGCCCAGCAATGGCTCACCATACAAATGAACTAGCACACCTGTTGCACTCACCATCACTGCAGGAGCTGCAATCGTGGCAGTCTGCTAAGTGGTTATGTTCTTCCGTGAACGTTTCACCCTCCACGCAGGAACCGCAAACTGAATCTTCACCGCTGGATGTGCACTCACTTATGACAAACTTCCCTGTGTAAAACAAAATTAGGGTGTTTTGGAAGGCAAAGAGACACATTTTTGTTACAATTATTAATTGAAACTAAAACTTTTTATTTCAGCAGTTAAGGCCCACTGAGCTATGTAGGTCTTTTTCAGAAGCGACCTGGCCACACGTGATGATAGCTCACCAAAGTGGCTCATCGTGTGGAAATATATAGTATCCAAATATTCAAAACGTATACCATGAACTAAATCTTAACCAAATATTATAATTTGGCCCAAATGATGCAATCAGTGAATGCGATTTACATTTCAGGATTAACTTGTTTTTAAGCAATACAAAACGGGGTACTTGACGAAGTGAAACAATATTTCTTATGTATTTTTAATGGAAACCTTGTTACCAGGTTACAAGACTCGCCAAAAATTAATTTCTCATTTCACTAACTCACTTTATTAGAAGTGATTGTTGTTGTGTTTATTTTGTTGACCTTCCCGCACACCTCCAATGAGCGCGGTTGGTTACGTACGGTGCGAAAGAAGTTAAACATACATACAAATGATGGCAAGGTTTCATGTCATACGCTTTAATTGCGCGTTGGTTACTGTGTACTTCCGTGTGCTCTACATTGTGGCAGGACGGGAGAACAAAACAAAAATGATTCGTACTTAGGGGAGAATCTAGGTTTATAAGCAAAGTAGCTGAAATCCTGGACATTACAGCATTAAAACCGGGTAATTGTTGATCATAACGTTCTGGTGGATAACAGAGCCCGCTGAGTTCCACTAAAATGGATCACAGCGCTTAGTGTATCGGCCACCACTTGCATACACCCCTGTACATGTTAGAGCAGTGGTTCCCAACCTGTTTTGGCTACTGGTGTACCCCCTTGTTGAATTTTGTTTCAACCGAGTACCCCCCTTGCCTGACCCAACTTTGGTTCTGAGAAAAAAATCTACTAATAATGAACATCGATATTTTAAAGAATTGCCAATTGTTTGAGGTATACCCTAACAAGCTGCTCGGTGCGTTCACGCTCGCTGGCTACTATTGCAAACCACATTGTTTACGATCAAGGAATTTATTTTATATATCGTTCCAGGTTACCATATGGATTTAAATATAATATTTTATATTGGCAGATTAATACATGATTATTCACCAATGACTCTCATGTATGATATAATTTCACATATTTATAAATCACCTCACGTGCCCCCAGGGGTCCGCCGTACCCCCGGTTGAGAACCGTTGCGTTAGGGTGCCTAAAGGCAGCAATCAGAATTAGACTATTTTAATTTTTTACTGAGGAATCTGATGAGATATGAAGCTCTTTTTCATAGATGTCCAAAGGCAGCTGCGAGGGTGACCGGAGTTTGCGTGATGGTATATGCTCCTGGACAAGATCAGCAAGGTATTGTGGCTAATTAGTGGCAAGCATTTTATGTGTAATGTATTCGATCGGCGACCTGAAGCCAATGCAACTCGGCGAACACTGGACGGACACGGTCGGATTTTGCAGTACCTGTCTCGACACGTGCCAAAGAGGTTTGTACACGCTGCAGCTTGGTAATGTTTTTTGCCAGACGTCCCGTAGAGTAGTGAGTTGCTAACATCGATATACTACGCTACACGCCACCGTGTTGGCTATGACATGACGCCGATTGCACAATCCGAATATATTTGGAGAAGACAAACAAACAATGTATTTGTTTTCTTTAAAAATAATGTGTGAGTGACATGACTGAGTGTAACTAAGCCAGGCCATTGTGATGTTATCATTCCTTCTCCCCTGCAATGTGGACACTTGACAGCTTCATAGTTGGGTAACTTTGACATTCCACAGTGCTCTCTCAATCAATTCGCTGTTCAATGTCAAAGCATACCCATGCAGCAAAAAATGCTGGTGAACTATCAACCGTGCTTATCGCACCTCCGATTTGTACGGTTGGCTACGTATTGTGCGAAATAAGTTCAACATACATACGTCTTTACAGGCATTGCACTGTGCCGAAACCACTCCAAAGTTTCCTTGTGTTCAACCAATGCTGTTGAATTTTTTCACTCCCAGAAGGCTATGTGGCTGATGGGATGTTGATTATTTGGCTGCTATAAATTTCCACATGACGACAAGTCACTTCGTTGAGCTATAATTTGTGGCCAGGTTGCTTCTTTAAAAATTACGAATAGCTCAGTGAAGTTGAGTCTATGTCTATTTACAGTGATTTGCTTACCTTTCCTATAATTTGCACTCCTATCGTTTGTGTGTTGTTTGTTGTTGTAAGTCTGTGACCCGTGCCCCTACTGGACATCTGTGAAAAAGAGCTTCATGGCTAATCGGATTTCTCCATAATGAATCAGAATTCTGATTTTGAAATATTGTTTTACGCGAATACATATAATTTGCGTATTTATGAAGTTGCCATAACATTGCTAATGATGATGTTGTGTTATACTGTACATTGAATTGCAAGGCAATGATGAGCCAAGAGCACACTTTTATTTCACCTGTGCTGATGCTTACAACGCCACACCAGGAAGTGATTTAAGGTATTTATTCTCTAAGACTTGAGCAATGGCGTTTATGCCCAAGTAAGGTTAGGAATTACTTCATCAAAGTCGACGATTGCCAACAGCATACACGGACTTGTGGGGGCAAGTGATGTGAGATAATTTAAAGCTGGCGTGATTTATAGGTGTGGTATGTTTTGCCACAGGTAAAACCCACTGGACAATGAATGGCTTATCGATGGGGAACTGGTTATACAAGAGAAACCTGGTTATGTATTATGTTGTGTTGAACTTCTTTCGCACCTTACGTAGCCAACCGAAGGACAACAAACTAAGCACAAAAAAGCAGCTCTAAAGAAATTAGTTTTCAATCGAGATGATTTAAAAGGGCATAGCTCCTACTATCGTAAAGAAGAGCGTTCCAGATGGCTGCAGAAGCGCATCTGAAAGCGCGCGATGCAGTGACCGACTTTGTTCGATGGCCAGCCAAAAGCCACTGCTACTGTGAGGATGACCGGAGTGCACGTGATGATGGTTTATCCTCCTTGACGAGATGAGCGAGGTGTTGTGGTTCATTTGTAGCAAACACTCTGTGTGTAATGAGTGTTTTGTTACAACTATAAATACGAACAACAACAAAAACAACAAGGCACATACGACTGTGTACGTGGTCAAGTTTCCAATGGCAATGCCGTGTGTCAACATCGTATAAACTAACAAGAATAATACGACGAGGCTGGTAGAATGCATTATGTACAAAAAGTACAGGGTACAATTTAGCACCGAGGTATGAAGTTCGTCACAAAAACACCTTTGTCTGCCCACACTGTCACTATGAGGAATGTCAATTTGAGTAGAAATTTCGACAACAACAAAAACTGGGAATAGGTTTTCCCCTTTTTTTCTGGCAACAAAACATGTGTTAAGATTTTAAAACACCAAACTGAAACCTTTGACAAGGAACCATGTCTGCATTAACCACAAGACTTGTGGTCAGAATGCAAAAAAAACATACTCTGATAATATATGCATTGTCTTTGAAACTGATTGGTCCACACCAGAGACAGCTTTCTTTGGAGCCTAGTCTCAATCGGTGTTAGACTAGAGGATGGTGTTAGACCAGAGGACGCCAAAAGGCGTACAGCCCAAAGACAACGCAACTATCAGAGTATTGAGAGCTCGGGGTGAGCATCTACATCAGGAGGCCCCATGAAATAGCTAAATAGTTTAGTAAAAGGCACGTAACCTACACAGACGCGTATGTAAGTGAAAACAGATGTTTTGAAATGAAACCTAAAATGTTATTTCATTCTTAACCATGTATTGATTGTTACATTTTAAAGTGCACTTTTATTGAGGGACTATGTGTTGTCTTGGTGTGGTCTGGGGCTGGTCTTGCTCTTGTTTTGCTGCATTACCCAAGCTTCAGCAATGATGAACTTCTGCAATTTGAACTTATATACTTGATCTATTTTACGTATGTAGTGATTTGCTTACCTTTCCTATACGTTGCACTCCTATCGTTAGTTTGTTTGTATTGTTTGTATTGTTTGTTGTGGTCACTTTCTGACCCCGTGTTCCTTCTGTCAAAAAGGACTTCACAGCGCATGTCGCCCATTGAGCGCAGGTTTGTCCAAGGCACACACAGGTGGCTGAATTATTTTGAGTAACATCGCCACACAGGTGCATAAGGTTTCAGCAGATGAATGAGGTATAAGAGAGCCAACCCCTTTCGTTTGTATGTACGCATGTCGAACTTATTACGCACCGTACGTAGCCAACCATGCTGAGCGTTAAACACAATATTTTTTTTAATCATAAACTTAAATGCACGGAACCAAGGCACAGAATGGCGAATATAAATAAAATGAGTTAATCATTAAGCTCACGATACATGCATGAGAATCTATTGTATACAATATATAAGCTGTATATAAACTGTGTATACATACACATCCCACCCCCAGTTTGGTGGTTGGTTTAGACAAATCCATGTGTTTAAAAAATATAATTTGGTATCGTTTTGAAAGCATATTCGTATCTGGGTATGTGGAGGACACATCGTCAGCCTAGCAACGGCGTCCCAAGAAACGGCTGGGCCAGGAGGTCATAAGAGAGCGTCAGAGAGACGAGTGCGTTGGTTCTGGAGGGAATGAGTGATTGAATGAAGCAATAATGAGAATTATTAACCACCAATGCAAAAACGCTATAGAAGTGAAAACTATCGGAAAGGTAAGTACATCTCGAAAAATAAATTGACTTAAAATTAACGAATTTTTATGTTATCAGGTAAGGCCCACTGAGCTATTAGTATTTTTTTCATGAGGGGCCTGACCACAAATGATAGCTCAACAAAGTGGCTCAATCAGGCGGAGATCTTAACTACCTCACCTGATATGCAGGAGGTTGTGGGTTCGATCGCAACCCTGACGCCTGCTTTATATTTGGAGTTTGTTCTTCCTGTGGTCGTGTGGGTTTTTCTTCAGGTCCTTCGGTTTTTCCCTCCACATTTAGAATCAACATCAAGCATTTCTACTATTGTCCTGCTATAAATATCGATATGATGATAAGCCACTTCGTTGAGTTTATCATTTGTGATAGCCAGGTTCCTTCTGAAAATGAGCTACATAGTCTCATTGGGCCTTACCCGGTAAATTATAAAGTAAGCATTTTTCGTTGTTAGTTTTAGTCTAGAGGAGCGTTTCCCAAACTTGTGTAGCCCATGACAAACCTCACTCACTTTTTTCTTTAAATCCGAATAGTAATACTACATGATTCATATTATCGGAACGTAAACACTTTTTTTTTACGCAGTTATAATGTTTATTTTTTTTACGCGGTCATTTACATCTTGGGGTTAGGGTAGTTTAATCAGGGAAGTTTACCTGACTATTTTTTGTAATTAAATATCACAAGTAAAATATGAATGAATGTCTAAGCAAAAGGTATAAACGTTGTTATATTTTTCTGATCAACCTAATGGACGTCTGTGAAAAGAGATGTATCGCTCGTAGAATTCCTCTCGTATGAATAAAATAATCTGGTTTTGATTTTGAACCTGCGGTTGGCATCACAGCCATGGCGGACCTCCTGGAGGAGGTTTTGCGACCACACTCTGAGAGCCAATGCCCTAGAGGATTAGCTCAGTTAAGGAAGTTGACACTAGGGAAGAATTTATTGACTCAAATAGACAGGTTAAAAACATAAAACGTTGGTAATCATAATTTTAACACGTAGGTTTTGGCGACCAACATTATTCATAAAAAAACATTTGGGTTAGATAACGTAAATTTAAATGTGTCGTTAACCCACCACCACTACCCAACACAGCCAATTAGTGAGGTTAATTCTGGCAAATTGCCCGATGAAGCTGGTTATGATCACCAGTGAAACGTCATACTCAAATTGTAAATGGGTTTACTTTCCAACACACAACCGATATGCTGAAGTAGCAACTAATTGGAATATTTTGTTTACATGACAAACCTTACTAATTGGCTGTGTCGGGTGGTGATGGTTTAAGGACGCATTTTTATTACTGCAATCTAACAAAAAAACGTTATTATGGGTAAAAAATAATTGTTCATCGCATTGTGTCAATATTACTGGTGCCAATTCCCAGACATGTGTGTACCCAAATCGTTTGCTCAATAAAAAAACACTTTTAAGGAAAAACTTGAACTATTTTTACGAAAAAACACTTACTATATGTCTTTTACCAGGTAATGCATGTTTCTAGATGTACAAGGAGGAACTGGAGGACTCGGAGAAAAATCCACGCGATCACGGGGAGAGAGACATGCAAACTCCAAATATACAACAGGCGTCAGGGTCCGGATAGAACCCACGACCTTCTCCATACTAGAGGAGGAAGGTAACATCTCCATGGCACCCTATTCTATGGAACTGGCCAATGACTAAACCACGTGCAATGTGTCCGATCTCTTCGGATCCTTTAGACGCTTTAGCAGTGTTAATCTTGGGTGGCTGTGAGGCTGTATGGTACGCAATACAGGGCAATGCAGAAAACTCCAATGTTGCGCTGCACTACCTATGTTCCCTGTCTTCACCAAGCCGCACTGGCCAGTCTGATGAGGTTTTGTCAAATAACCCCCACGGTACACGCGGTTTTGGTGAGGCCCTCATCCGACAGTGGACTTAAATAAATGGGTTATTTGTTTACATACAAAACATTAGATGCAAATATTACGGGGATTTCTTTCTTTATTGAGGAAACAAAACTGCACAAACGAGACAGAACATCAACAATGAACAATACAAACGAGACAGAACAACACCAGCGAACAAGACAAATCAGACGGGACAACACCAGCCAACAATAGAAACGAGACAGGCAAAACATGATGCTGGTTGAATGCCTCTTTAACGTGCCTGGGGTTGTATTGTTATTTGAGCCGAAGTTATTGCAAATTAAGTGCTGCTGCACTTTCTTGGCAACTGTAGTGTAAAACGTAAAGGTGCTGCCCTAAAGGGTTATCTCATTTACGTTGGTAATCACCATTTTAACACGTAGGCTTTCGCGACCAATATTATTCATATAAAAAGTGTTTTTTGGGTTATATCGCGTAAATATGAATGTGTCGTTAACCTACCATCACCACCCGATAAAGGACATTAGTAAGATTAATTCTGGAAAATTGTCCGATGAAGTTGGTTGTGATCACCAGCGAAACGTCACAGTACTCAACTGGTATGCTGAAGCAGTAACTAAGTGGCATGTTTTGTTTACGTGACAAACCTTACTAATTGGCTCTGTCAGGTGGTGGGTTAACGACATATTTTTAAGTATGCAATCTAACTGAAAAACTTTATTACGAGTAATAATCATTGTCCATCGAATTGTGTCTATAATACTGGTGGTAATTTCCAAGCATGCTCCACTGTGTGTACCCGAATCGTTTGCTCAATAAAAATACGTTTGGGAAAAAACATTAACAATTTTTACGAAAAACTACGAAAAAAATAACTAAACAATTTTTATTTCACCAGGTAAGGCCCACTGAGCTTTGTAGCTCAGGTTCAAAAGCAGCCTGGACACAAATTATAGCTCAATGAAGTGGCCTATCATGTGGACATTTTCAGCAGCCACATACTCTAAACGCATGTTTCTAGATGTAGAAGGAAAAAAAACGCAGGAGCCAGATAAAAATGCACGCGATCACGAGGAGAAAATGCAAACTCCAAATATGCAACAGGCATCAGGGTCGGGATTGAACACCACGACCTCCTGTATAGCAGGCGAGGTAGTTAACATCTTGCCACCATGCCACCCCAAATAAACTTGCCCAAGCAGGTAAACCATAATTCACATTGTGGGCTTGTACCGACATATTTACCTGCCGTACACATATTGCAGCACACACCAGTCTTGGCACTATATTTCCCTGGGGGGCAATACTTGTCGTCTAGGGATGGAGCTTGCACCAGAACCTTCACAGGGAAAGACAAAACAAAGTGTTACTACACAGCAAATGTTACTTTCATGATTCAAAGTGAGGTTTCCGCTACCAAATCGGAGCTGGTCATGAACCAATTACACACATGTTGCAAGGCATCATCAATGTTTATATGTACTTTATGTTGAACTTCTTTCGCACCATATGTAGCCAACCGTGCTAATCGGAGGTGAGTGTGAAGGACAACAAACTAAACACAACAACAGGGTCTCCGAAAGCACGAATAACACAGAGACACAACAACCGCCATTCGCCACTAAGTGGCGGAGACGTCACCACACACAGGGACACACACGCTGAGACACACACACAGGGCCACACACACTAGAACAAAATACGTGCACTGGGTCACTCGGCTAACCTCTGAGAAGTAGAACGTGACCAAAAAAAAGACGAGCGCGCAGAGGAATTTCACTGTGAGCTCCATTGCTCGCGGCCGCCGGAGTCTCGACAACGAAACTCTGACGGAACTCGAGAGCTGCGTGCGATCTCAACGGTGCTGGCTCTGTGAGTGTCTCTCTGACTCGGCTATGTTAGACCAACCCCTTTCGGAGACTCACACCCTGACACATGACCCTAAGCTAGCATCTCAACAGTGACAGATTTTAGTGAATGCAAATAAAAAATGTTAGACTTACTTCCTTGTGAGTTACGATTGTTGACCACGTAGTTTCGGAGCCACACCTTTTACGAATCAACTTTTTTATCGTGTGAGTTGAGTGTGTGGGTGAGTGAATGGGCGAGTGGTCGGTGTGTGGGTGGGCAAGTGAATGTATTTGTGGAATGTCTGGTGTTGTCTGCCGGCCGAGTCGCCCCCTTTGAAAAAAAGAGCTTCTTAGCTCGAGGGGCCTTACCCGGGATATATTTGGCCACGGCAGCGAGATGTTATCTTGTTTGATCTGATGGCACATTCCGTGTGAAATATCGTTAAAGCGGAAATTCAATAAAAAAGTGTCCATAATTTGCCCATTGCGTAAACGTGAAGTTTCGTAAAACGAACGTTCGTAAATAGAGGGATACCTGGATTTCATAAATACCCAGTTTACTTTGTGACGAATTCATTATTACTCGTATGTACGTTGAACTTATTTCGCACGGTACATAAGCAATTAAGCTAATCGGAGGAGCAGAGGAAGAACAAAAAACTAAACACAAAAAGCAGTGCCAAGGAAATTAGTTTTCAATCTCGGGCTTCTGTAGCTCTATGACGATCAGGAGCAATTGCTTGAAATGTTGCCTATTGAATGGTTTAATGGCAGTATTTTTCACGAGTTGGTTGAGATATTATTTGTAAAGTCCTTTTGAGCTTAACCTTATAGTCTCCGCCTACCTCTCTAAGCCACACCTTGCCATATAATCTTCACTGCCCCCATAGTGGTGGTGCATTTGGGTTGCATCAGAGGTTTGAAGGACAGGTGTTATTGCCTTGAAAAAGTAAAAAATAATAACAGTCTTGTTCCTCCATGAAGCAGTGAATTCGGCTTACAAGTGAGTATTCAACGATATGTGAGTGTGTTTAAATGTGTGTGTGTATAGGGCAATCCGGAGTCTGAGACCAGGAAAGGCACCGGGCAGAGATGATCTCCCAAGCGAAATGCTGAGGGTGGGTGGCGTTTGTGCACAGACTGCCCTATATGACATCATAACAACAGTCTGGACCACTGGACGGGTTCCGCAGGATTGGAAGGATGCCCTGGTGGTCCCCCTCTTTAAGAAGGGGGACCACACAGACTGTAACAACTACAGGGGCATCTCACTCCTCAATGTGCCGGGAAAGGTCCTGGCAAGGATTATTCAACATCGCCTTGCTAGGCACACTGAGGAGAGGCTTGCAGAGCCCCAATGCGGTTTCAGGAAAGGGCGGTCCTGCACAGATGCTGTATTTTCTGTCCAAGAAGACCTACATCTCTGCTTTATTGACCTGGTCAAGGCCTATGATACCATCAGTAGGCCTGGGCTCTGGGTTGTTCTTCCTGCTTTCGGAGTCCCTCACCCTCTGCTCTCGATCATTAAGGACCTTCATGATGGTGAGTGGGCCCGGGTAAAACTACGTGACCGGGAGTCAGAGCCTTTTCCTGTACACCTTGGGGTGCGGCAGGGATGTCCTCTGGCTCCCACATTATTTAACATCTATTTTGACCGCGTAATCCGTGAAGCCTTCAATAGCTGTACCGGGGGAATTTCAATTTGGTACAGATATAATGGGAGGCTGATCGATGCCCGGGTGCGATCAAGGGATGGCTCCCTATTGGTCAACCACGTTATGTATGCCGATGATTTGGTAATAGCTGCTCATTCAGAAGAGGAGTTGGAGACGCTACTGCTGAGACTGGAGCGTGCCACTAAGAGGTGGGGCCTTACCATCAGCCCCACCAAAAATAAGCACCTGCCTGGGTATTTTGTACCATCGGACACTCCACTCCCACAACTCCCAATCGGTGATGGAGCAGTAGTGGAGAGAGTGGAGAGTTCCCCATACCTGGGCAGTGTGCTTATGACCGGCTCCAGTTTAACAGCAGAGGTCTCACTCCGAATCAGTCGAGCGGCAATATCTTTTCATCGGTTGCGTAACGCTGTGTGGAAGCTACCTGGTCTATCGCTCCGCACGAAGCTTCAGGTCTTCTCAGCCACAGTCATTCCCTCTCTTCTCTACGCTGGCGAAACGTGGACCCCCCTAATGGAGCATTCGCCGGTTGGAAACATTTAGGCTGGCCTGCCTACGATCCATCCTGGGTTTAACCAGGCTGGATTGTGTGAGGAGTTCACAAATCCTTGAAAGATCTGGGCAAAGTCCCATCGGTGAGCTCCGGCAGGCAAGGCTGCGTTGGCTGGGTCATGTAGCCCGCATGCCCAGCCACCGCATGCCTAAACAGCTTTTGTTCAGCCGGATCGAAGGGGCTAAACGGGCGCGGCACGGGCTAGAGAAGAGATGGAGTGATGTGGTACAGTAGGACGTGGAGCTGAGTGGACTTGCCGATGACTGGTACCAGCGGTGTCAAGATTGGCCTCTGTGGAGGAGGCTCGTGAAGGACGCTACTGGGAAGTTGGAGGAGTCGCCCTCCAACAACAACGGAGGGCGGAGGAGCGACGCTCACAACAACGAGTGGAGCACCCGGTGGCTAAAGCACAGCAAGTTGGTACAGTAGGGGGCACAGGTGGTGCATCAGCCAGTCGTTTCGGTAATCTCGGTCAGTCGACCCGTGGCACCTGGGTCTGCCCAGTGACCTCCTGCCAGCGAGCGTTCGACACTTCACGTGGCCTCAAGGTGCACATGGCCTGGCACAAGCATCGTGGTGACGTCACCGTCACTTAGTGGCGAATGGCAGTTGTTGTTGTTGTGTGTATGAGTATGTGTGGACTTAGCGGGGAGTGGTAGTGTATCGGTTAGCGCGCTGCGCTATGAACCTGACGACCCGGGTTCGATTCCCGTTCACGGCAAATACCAGTGACGATTGTCTGAACCGTTCCTGGGCATCCCCTAGTTCGAATCAGCCTCAAATGAGTACCCGGTGCAGTGTGTAAACATCGCCACTGGGGAGACAAAGGCGGTCGGGCGTGGTGCTGACCACCCACCCCCTCGTGTACCGTTACAGCCTTCATAGGTTCTCACTAACAGCGCTTGTCCCTACAGTCTGCTAAGGCTATACGGGGGATCTTTGTCTTTGTTGACTTAGCCTGGCACAAGCGCCATAGTGACATCACCGCCACTTAGTGACGAATGGCGGCGGCGGTTGTTGTAACTTTTAGCCACCGGGCGAAGTTAGCACAGTAGGGGGTACACCTGGTGCATCTACCGATCTTCTCAGTCAGCCCACCCATGGCACCTGGGTCTGTCCCGAGACCTCCTGTTAGCGAGCCTTCGACACTTCACGTGGCCTCAAAGTTCACCTGGCCTGGCATAAGTGCATTGGTGATGTCACCGACACTTAGTTGTGAATGGCGGGTATTATATTGATATATTGTGTGTATATGGAGAGCGGTAGTGTAACGGTTGCGCGCTGCACTACAAACCTCCCCTAGGTCGACTCAGCTTCATATGAGTGGTGCGATTTGAAAATATCGCCAAAGGGGAGACAAAGGCGGCCGGGCGTTGTGCTGACCACCCACCCCCTCGTGTCCTGTACCAGCCTTCATAGGTGCTGCTACTCGCTAACAGCACTTGTTCCTGTAGTCTGTGTATATACGTGCTTGCTATTAGCAAGCACGCATATGCACGAGTGTGTGTTCTAATCCACAATGCCCAAATCACCTCGAATGTGCCCCGATATCGTCATATTAGTACAGCAAAAATTCCCAAGGAACAGGGACATGGCCATTACCAAATACGAAGAATAGAGAGATGCATGCTTGGATTTACAAAGAGGCAGACAGATGAACATGTAAATTTAGAGAATGTATGCGAGTTAACGGCATTATCCAAAGTTTGGTCGCCATATATTGTTAAAAGGGATAATGGCCGAAAGCAAGAATGACTACGAAGTGGCAAATAAGGAATGAGATGCATCTGTAAGCAATTGAATCAGCTCGTGTCCAGACGCTTAGCGGATTATTGCATCTTGGGATCGTGAGAGATGGCGATGGCTTGGGAAAAACTTCATCCAGCAGTGGTTTGATCATGGCTGATGATCACTGTTTACGCGTATCAGAATGTAAACTGAAATGTTTGAAATGTTGTATTGGATCATAGTGTAAAATGTAATGTACTTTTCTTGTCACCAGTAAATAGCTCAATGAAATTACCTTCCTGTTGTATATGGCATACTTTACTTTACCAAATGAAGGCCCATTGATATTGTCTCTTAAGCTATTAATTAATCAGATGAAAGACCATTCGGATTAATGTCTCAAGTAATTGACGTTCTTTATTTAACCACGTGACAGTCTATTAACATAAATTACCATTAATAACCGACGTCCGTTATGTAATCATGCCACCTGTTGAATCGTGTCCTTGTAGCCAGCCCGTCTGGCCCCTCTCCCGGCGTGCTCGTAACGGGAGAACGGGCCGGATGAAGACTATTCAGAGACGAGTGATGTTAAGATTGCGTTGTGTTCATGTCCCCTTCCTCGTCGTCACACGGCTGCTTGAGATGACCGGACAGCTTCGCGCAGGAACACACACGAGTAGGCCACGTGACAGCAACACTTTGTTTCGAAATGTTCTCTTACTGGGAGCCTTCATGTCTCTGCGACATTCACCAAGAGACTCTGCGTCAGCCCACGTGCCACAAAACCCCACACTGCTCAATCACCCTACTAATGCTTGCCCAGCTCGCGAAATTATAACACATTCCCCGCAACTCCGATTAGCACGGCTGGGTTACACACTATGAAATAAGTTAAACTTACATACATTTATAACATTTGAACAAAAGTACATAAAAAATTCTAATTCCCACGGAAATGTCTACTTAATTTAAGCATATTATTGACATGCAATCATAATAATACGTATAGAAGATGTAATATCTAATTGTATTATTACATTAGCTTTAACTACCCGGCTTCGCCCGAGACTTGGATCCACCACGCCCAGCCGCCTTTGTCTCCCCAGTGGCGATGTTCACACATCACAAGCAGTTACTCGTTTGAGGCTGAGTCGACCTAGGG